GTCCGATTCCCCGCTGGTCCGCGAGTAAGACTCAAGACCGTAGACCCGCCGAAAGGCAACGGGCTCGGACATAACAAGATGTAGATGTTGCTGACATCTTGGGCATTACCTGGGGGGTACGCCGATGCGGTCCGAGGTTTCTTGCCGGTTTTGGGCCTGAGTTTGGCCCCCCAAAACCGACATGCGGTCTCTGTGTGTAAAAGGGTCTGTATGCAAAAGGGTCTGTATGTAAAAGCGTCTGTGTGAAAAAGCGTCTATGTGTAAAGTCTCTGTGTGTAAAAAACTCTGTGTGTAAAGGAGTCTGTGTGTAAAAGCTTCTGTGTGTAAAAGCTTCTGTGCGTAAAAGTTTCTGTGTGTAAAAGCGCCTGTGTGTAAAAGGGTCTGTGTGTAGAAGGGTCTGTGTGTAAAAGGTGTAGAAGTTTCTGTGTGTAAAAGCTTCTGTGTGTAAAAGCTTCTGTGTGTAAAAGGGTCTGTGTGTAAAAGGGTCTGTATGTAAAAGCGTCTGTGTGTAAAAGCGTCTGTGTGAAGGAGTCTGCGTGTAAAAGCCTCTGTGTGTAAAAGCTTCTGTGCGTAAAAGCTTCTGTGTGTAAAAGCGTCTGTGTGTAAAAGGGTCTGTGCGTAGAAGCTTCTGTGTGTAAAAGCTTCTGTGTTTAAAAGCTTCTGTGTGTAAAAGCCTCTGTGTGTCAAAGCTTCTGTGTGTAAAAGGGTCTGTGTGTAAAAACTTCTGTGTGTAAAAGCTTCTGTGTGTAAAAACGTCTGTGTGTAAAAAGGGTCTGTGTGTAAAAGGGTCTGTGTGTGAAAGTGTTTGTGTGTAAAAGCTTCTGTGTGTAAAAGCTTCTGTGTGTAAAATGGTCTGTGTGTAAAAGCTTCTGTGTGTAAAAGGGTCTGTGTGTAAAAGTTTCTGTGTGTAAAAGCTTCTGTGTTTAAAAACTTCTGTGTGTAGAAGGGTCTGTGTGTAAAAGGGTCTGTATGTAAAAGCGTCTGTGTGTAAAAGCGTCTGTGTGTAAAGGAGTCTGTGTGTAAAAGCCTCGTGTGCAAAAGCCTCTGTGTGTAAAAGCGTCTGTGTGTAAAACAATATGTGTGTAAAAGGGTCTGTGTGTAAAGGAGTCTGTGTGTAAAAACGTCTGTGTGTAAAAGTTTCTGTGCGTGTAAAAGCGTCTCTGTGTGAGAGCGTCTGTGTGTAAAAGTGTCTGTGTGTATTATAAAAGCGTCTCTGTATAAAAGCGTCGCGTTTCTTCACATCCACGGAATGATGGTGCCGAGCTTTTTCGGCAATGTGTGTAGGAATTACCATAGAAAAATGAGATAACGCATGTCGTTCGCAGCATCATGGTACCGAGCCTCCTGTGCAGTTTTGTTGCTCACACTATATTTCTCCATGTTTTCTTTCTACCCCCTTTTCCTTCTCTCTCTCTCTCTCTCTCTCTCTCCTCCCTCTTTCTCTCTGTGGTTGCAAGACACGTGTCATCTGATGCCCTCTACCAAGTATCCTCTTCTTAATCAATCTTACTTTTTCACACCATATCCTTCCATAGCTCATACAAAATTCACCAACTATTCACCGACTATCTTTTACGACTACCATCCCCAGAGCTGCTTGAAAAACATTTTTTTCGCTCTCGGGCCAACCGTCGTCTAGTTGTGTTGCAACAAATAAGCGCAGGCTACCGCATGCACTGCGTTGTCTCACAATCTTGCAGCTGTGCCTAGCGTGCTGCGAATCTGCAACTGCTTTGACAAGAGAATTGCATGACCATGCTTTGCAACCAGGTTTCCCAACAAATTTGTTTACCTAAGCAGCCACAAAATGCACCCATGTGGCAAAAGCAAGGATGCGCCCATCAAATCTATGCTTTCCTTTTCATCAAAAACTTGGAAGCAGATACTGTAGGCTGCGGTGGTCTTGTGCTGCTTTTGCATAGTCGAAGCGGGACCCTCGGTTGCGGTGCACGAGGATATTTTGGCCATCAGTCGCCACACAGAGCCATAATACGGGGATCGATACTCATCCGCAGCGTAGCCATACACATAGTCGGCTGCATTTGGACAGGGGTAGAAGCAACTCTGGGACAGCCGATAGCGCCGATAGCGCCGATATCGTTTCTCATTCTCACTGCCAACCAATGTGGTCAAAGCCAAAGGGGGCCCATCCGTGGCGCGAAAGGGAGACTGCAAACTCCACTCTAGGACAGCCGCAGCATCAGAGGGGACACTTGGCTTCATGTGATCGCTGATTGTTCGGTCCTGCAGCTTGACAAAGCCAATGTGGTAGACAGCCAGGACCTGCGCCATGCCAGGCCAGCCCGCCATATCCACTGGAGACAGGATGTACGTCAAGTGGATTGCTCTTGTCAAGGCAATGGTCGCTCGCCCGTAGCAGTCCTCGCGGTCCTCAAGTGTGGCATCCTTGCGATTGCCACTTAGAAAACCACCTCCCGTTTGGACCACAACCGCTAGGATTATCCTGGCAGTAGCTCCTGCCGCTGAAGAGACTGACGAGATACGGATGCCACCTTGCCATTCTGTATGAAATCCGTGCTGCAGCAACATGTCATGAACAGCATTCCGATTGCACAGGACATTGAGGTGGTTCGTCGCCCCATTGCTAGGAGTGTGTCGGACGCTTAGTTGAGACAGCATGACGACGTGGTCCTCGATGGCCATCCGAAGGTCTTTGGCTACATCCCAGAAAATGGCACGGAAGCCGCCGTGGTCCATGGTATCAGAATGTGCAACGAAGTGACCCACTTGGGTTTGCAGTCAGTATGCGTGACCAGTTTAGGGCATCGTACCGCCACAATGGCCTTGTAGGTGAGCACCGACAGTCGAGAGCTGTTCGGAAGAATGAGGCCCCAGCGATGCGGGCCTGCGAGCCCAGCAGCTGCAACAGTATCCACACACTCTGAGATGGGGAACTCTTCTGGCAACGCAGTAATGAGAAGCAGGGCGAGAGCGGCCACCACTAGACCGCTCCTCAGGTCAACTGCATTCATCGTGTACGAACGAAGTATGCTCACCAGTGCAGCGGGAGGCACGTCCGGACTAGCATTCGTGAGCTACGGCCCAGCATGCATCATCGTAGCCCGACCCAACAATTGCGCCAGACTGCAGACCCTTGCGCCAGACCCGCACGATTTCGTACAGACGTACAGGGGGAAGATAGTCCCCTTCCTGCTGCAGGGCTCTCAGCCCAAGAGGTCGTCGAAGCAACTTCTTACGGTTCTTTGTAGCGGCTCGTCCTTTGGATAGGCCGCCCGGGGTCTGTCAATGATCGCCCACATACACAGCTAATAAGATTGGCTGACGAATGGCCACCATGGAGGCTACTTCGTGGTAGCCACCAAACTGCTGACTTTCGTCCATAAAGGCAATCCAAACCTTGGTGACCCAATCATGCAGAGCTGAGCTCGGCTGTCGTAGAGCCGCCTGTGGAGATTAGCGCGTGTTTCTAGAGTATTTGCAATGGCCGTCCAAAGGCCGTCATTTCCGGTGGCTTAAGTTCCACAATTTGGTCGCTCAAGGCCTTGGTGGCAACGTTTTCCTTTGTGAAAACTACTGCATGAAAGGTGGGGAGCACGCAGTACTAGCAGGACAGCAAGTGATCTCGTTTTACCTGCACCAAAGACACCCGCGATGCACAGGTCAGATCGGCCTGTGAGCATTGCAAGTAGAATGGCAACGGTGACAACATACCCGTGATCACCAGTTGCCCACGATATATTATGCATGCTAGATTTTTCTGGTTCTTTTTCATCCCATATGATATGATAGGGTCCCATTGTATTCGGATATAAAGTGTGATCGGTTCAATTCTCGAATCTGTCCGAAATATCTCCGTTGTCGCCTTTGGAGACATCGTAAAACCGATGTTGCTATTTGGCGCGACATGTAGCATTTTGATGCATGTTGTTTCTGCTTCACGTTTGCGATGCTATAGCTGCTAAAGGCATTGCAAGCAAAAAGTGGGTTGCTTGCGTGTTGTTTTGATGACGCCTCTCCAGAGTTTGCTAAAATTATCTTTATCTTTGGAGAGTGAGTAGATTGGGAAACGCTCTCGCTTCCTTGGCTACGGCAAGGGCCGGGGGTTGAATGGGAAAGACTGGCCGCAGAGAATGCCAAGAGTGTAGCTTTCAGAAAACAATGTGATATGGATGTGTTGCAATAAAAGGCAATAAGGATTTTTGATCTGGTTGGTGCTTTGGAACATTTGGTTTATTTTTCCAGATATTGGGAATTTCATGATCCCAAATCCCAACTGACTTTCACTCCATCATTTTTCAGAGGGGTAGGTATACCACCAACCAGTGATGTGAATCCACAGCCTCACAGCTTCACTGGGTTTCACAGGAACCAAGTTTCAGCAATGCGTACGGTACAAAATTCAGATTTTAACTGTAAAAATGGGGTTGGCACTTAAATTCATGGTCATGTATTGCATGATTGGTAGGATGGATGATATTCGTATACCATTGAACACTATGAGTCCGCAAAACAAAAACCAGTTGATGATCATTTATGATCGAAAGTGCAACCGTTGTTTTGCCGTTGTTTTGACCTCCCCAGCTTGTGAAATGCTGAATATTCGTTGGATTGCGAGAACCAGACTCGTTGCAGTTGTTGAAACCATAAACCCCTGCTCAAAACCTCCAAGACATCCCAACTGACCACCCCAAAGCCTTCAAATGAAGTACAAACAAGATAAACAAACACATTCCCAATCTGTCCATTGAAGGTTCTGTGGTAAAGCGAAGAAGAGACACCTCATTTTCACCATTTGGTGGGTATTCTAGATCATACCAATATAAGGTATTTACAATTGGATTTGTTGTTGGGTACTGCAAAATCCAATGCTTCTTACTAACAGTTTGTTCATCATTTTTCCTATTGGTTAATCATCATTTTTCCGCTTTAGATTTGCCCAGGTCATCAACCATGAATCTATCTTGTTTAAGTTATTTAAGTTATAAAAATACCACAACTTGGGGGTAAATCCACCTCCAACACACAGTTTGCGAAGCGACACGGAGCAGTCATGGGCGGCGCTTCCCATGGCCCGTCCGCGTCTTCGTTACTTGCTCAGATACTGCGATTGTTGACACACACACACACATATATATATAATATGTATGTAAATGTGGTGGTTTCCATAAATTGTATGGTATATTATCATAATGGATATTTTATGGATATTATATGGATATTAAATGGATATTGTATGGATATTATATGGATATTATATGGATATTCTATGGATATTATATGGATATTATATGGATATTATATGGATATTATATGGATATTATATGGATATTATATGGATATTATGTGGATATTATATGGATATTCTATGGATATGATATGGATATCGTATGGATATTATATGGATACTATATGGATATTATATGGATATTTTATGGTATATTATGGTATATTATGGTATATTATGGTATATTATGGTATATTATGGTATATTATGGTATATTATGGTATATTATGGTATATTATGGTATATTGATTATTCTGGTATATTATGGGGGTATATATATATATTATAAATATAAAGTAGAACCACGGTGGTTTCCATAAATGGGGATACCCGCAATATTGGATGGTTTATAATGGAACGTCCTATTAAATTGGATGAGGACTGGAGTACAACCATTTTAAAATATTTATTCATATATTTTTCGGATATAGATGTAAGGGACATCAGAGTAAATATCCATTATTTCTACAATATATATATATTCTGTATACATGTTCTTTGTATACATATATATATATATATATACATATGTATATCTATATCACAGGCAAAGGTATCATATCACATGTTGTGTAGGTGTAGTTCTACTCAGGTCTGTGCTGAGATTGGTCTGGTATAGCAACTGAAAGGTCGACATATGGGGCACCCTAAATGGGGATTGATGAAAAATGGGGTTTTATCAACATAAAAAAAACTATTGGCAAACATACAAAAAACTATGGAACATCACCATTTTTAATGGGAAAACTCACTATTTCGACTGGGCCATTTTCAATAGCTATTTGTGTGTTTACCAGAGGGTAAACCATTGGTGATTGATAGTTTTTTGGAAAAATCCATTGGTGATTTCTTTGGACATGTTTTACATGTCCATTTGGACTTCAAAATGGATGAACATCCCCAGATTTTTCTCAGTTGCTCGATTGGTGGGTCCCCCCAACACCCAACTCATTTCCCGCAAAGAAGGCATGTTCTTGGGCCTCTTGCAGTGCCGAAGATTTGGTGTAGAAACATGATGTGGTTAGTACACAGTGATTCCTGTCTTTATCCACTTTAAACTTGCCTTTTGTGCTTTTTACACCTCCCAGAGTTTGTTCAAGGATAAATTCGGAAATTGAATTGCGACGTTAATTGAACAGACTTGCCAAGTACCCTGAGATTAGACATCTTCAGTGTATTTTCAGTTCGTTCTTTTGAGTCCAAGGCATTTCGGGATTGGATTGGTAGAAATTTGCACAAGTTTTAACAACTAGAAGGTGGTGCCCCCCCAGTTATAGGTTGGTTTATAATCCCATTAACTATAGATATATCACCTATAAACCAGCTAAAGGAAAACCATGGTGACCCCGAGCCGCCACGAAAAAACGAGGCTTTTCCCACCTACTGCGGCAGTACTTTCCGCGGCGCCTGAGATGGTCCGAAGAGGTGGCGTTTTGGCGCTGCGGCGAAGTCGGCGAAGTCATGGCTCTGGGTACGGCGTGGTCAAAATTCATGTACCCTGTGGTAATTTGTTATCTAGCCATTGAAAATGGTGATTTATGGTGGATTTTCCCATAAAAAATGGTGATTTTCCATAGCTATAACAAGAATGAAATGAACATGGGGATATACCATCTGGTAATTTAACATAGCCATGGTATAGATGGCCCATAGAAATAGATGGTTTACCTATTAATAGCATGGTGATTTTCCATGGCGAACTGTTAGTCATAACCAGAGGGTATATGTAATGTCAACCCCGGATTAATAAACCCAAACGGCTGTTTAATTGGGGGAGGGTACCATTTCAGTAGCCATTTATTACTATTTGGGGGAACCACCACAATTAATCAACCAGGGTTTATTAATCCGGGGTTGACATATTGTATATATATATATTTAATAGACAGTGTATAGATAGAGTTTTAGTTTGTATTGAGAGTGCATTATATATATATATATTCGTTTCAGTCAATCTTAGTAAATACTCTGCATCTTCCACGAGTGTTTCTCTTTTGGCAATTTGATCTATAAATGGGATTGATGAAGGAGACTAGAGAGTACCTTTGGAAAGCAACAGCTTTTGATCCAGTAGATGGACGTGGTGCTCCCGAAATTTTGCTTGAAAAGAAGGGGTAAGTCTCCAATTTTTCGATCAATAGGTGAAGAACGGCCCATGGTTTGCGTACCCCCAAAATACAATGATATCTATTCTAGGCTATATGGATTGTCTATATAGTGATTCTGTCCCCATTTTTGTATATATGTGATTTGGTATGTTCATTGTTTGTACCTGGTTTATCATCCACATTGCTTCAAACTGTAAATAACCATATACACGTATATACAGTCTTAGAAGGGTTGCATATGGTCTCCATCCAAAAATCAAAGTTGGACCAAGGGAAGAACCTGGGATTGAATCATTTTTGTTTTGGAGGTGTATGGATCTGTCCAAACATGGGGACACCCACATTTCAATTGCTTTGTCATGTCTTTTCTTCTCCCTTTTTTTGTGGTCAAAAGATACATGGTCTCTACCCATATTTGTATTGGTTTCAACTCTATTTTTTCAACACTGTCCAGCTTCAAACACGTGTTGCTACAACTCATGGAGAATGGAGACCCCATTCCATTGGTGACCAAACAATCCCCATCTCACAGGGCCGACAAATTGTCACACCCATCACCCAAGTATCATAGATTTTTATTTATCCCATGAAATCCCAATTGTATCCCCATAAACTTATGGTAGAATCACCACCATGATTCTTGGTCAGAATAAGCCTCTAAATTAGTTTGATCCCGAAAACAAAACATGATATTGCCCCAGTTTTGATGGTTAGATCCTTCGCTACCCTCTGGTAATTTCACATAGCTATTGAAGCCATGGCCATAGAAATCGTTGATTTACCCGTCTTAAACATGGTGATTTTCCATAGGTTTTTGGTATGTGAAAACCAGAGGGTAATCCCCATGAAGCCATGATTTTTACACGTAGAAACTCCGCCCAGTCCAAGCGTCGTTTGGGTCTTCTATGTGGCCATGCAGGTGCGCTGAAACAGCCTGCAGGTTTTTCCACAGCTTGGTAACGTGGGATTTCACCTATCTGGATGATGGTGGTTTAATGGTTCAACGGCGGTAAAATCCAAAGCTATCTTAATCCATGTAATCCAAAGGTCATTATATTGGCTTAATGATGGTGTTTTTTTCTGTTGGCTTAACGATGAGTTTTTGGCGATTCAACCATTGATGCTTTCACATGGCAACGGCTTTGCAATGCGTGTGATTCCGGGCATGAAGGCAGGCCGTTGATAGTGCAGATTCCATTTGGGGTTTCTAAAGAAATGTCCTGGATGTTTCCAGACAATCATAATTCTATTCGCTGGTTTTTTTTTGACGAAAGCAACCGGTCTCTGCCGAAGGCTACGTGACGGGGCTCTTCGAGTACGTGATGACCGACATGCCACTCGCTGACATCTGTGATCCCGGAGAAGTGGTACCCTCTGGACCAAGATATGCCATGGACCATTTACCCGGTAAATTAACAGTTGGACCCTGAACATAAGCATCTTTTAGTGGAAACGATTTCTACCAACCCCTGCCAGGGTATTGATAATTTACTGGAGGGTATTTTTTTTTTTTTTCACAGCTATGGCAAATTCTCAGAGGGTGATGAGACAATACATGGAACTAGCAGTTGAACCTTGTGGACCCTGGAAGAGTTTTATCCCATGATGAACTCCTGCCAGTTTTGCATGTAGAACCAGAACGGCTAAGACTGGTAGAATAAAACCAAAGTATTCAGGTGCATACAGTACTTCATCATTCTGGAACATGGGTAAATTTCAATAAACTGAACTCCATGACTCGATCAACCGGGCTTGCCTTGGGGTGACAAAAATCCAGTTGATGCCAATATATTTCGAAAACATACAAATCACTTTGCAGCTTTGAATATGTAGAAATGTATGAATGTAATTATGTAATGTAATGCAATGCAATGCAATGCAATGCATGTAAGTAGATGTATATACACAATATGATTGATATACATATGCATGTACATATACATATGTTTTTTCTTTCTAGGAATTTGCCCTGACGAAGCTTCCCAGCCTTTCTGTAGACTACACCTGCGCATCTTTGCCCTGACCGGCTGCGCGCTGATCGTGAGTTTCCAGGAGCCGCTAGCAGCCTGAACTGGGATAACACATCTCAGGTATTCCAGAATATATTCCCATACATATAAGTGGGATAATATATTCCCATACATATTCCTAGAACAACGGAGATATTGTTGGAATATATATATATATATACATAGTCTGTATGGGAATATTTTTGGGAGAATCAACATGCTTTTGGGGGATTTGGATTCATTCAACAAGACTGGAGGTTTTTCACCATAAAATAAATATCGGGACTTCATATGATCAACCAACATGGGTGATTATGAGCATACCCTCTGGTAAACGTTTACATAACTATGGGAAGATCCACCATTTTTTATGGGAAAAAACTCACTATTTCTATGGCCATTTTCAATAGCTTTTTGTATGTTTACCAGAGGGTAATCCCTTCAAGAAGAATCTTAGCTCCAATGGAACCCCTATTTTTTTAATGAAATACCAAGGTTTCCAAGGCGGTTTTACAAAATCTTGGGATGGGATTACTATGGGATGGGCATTTTTCGGTGGCTTGATGAATTCGGACCATTCATTTTGGGTCGGGGTGCTCCGATGATCTCCAAAAGATGATTTTTCTTGAGTAGAAAAGCCAGGTTTTTTCTCCACCAAACACCAAGCATTATTTAAGAAGCGTTTTCATGGACATCCCATACGAATATCCCATACGAATATCCCAGTTATCCCAGTTGAATTTCCCATTAAAAAAACACATTTCTCATCGGTCCTTTCCCATGGAATTCCTCGGTCATTTCCGCAGGCCTTGCAGCCGCGAAGGCAGTGGATCTCCGTCAGTTGGAATTCCATCTACTGCGCCGCGCTCCTGGCTTGTGATGGGCCTTGGGAGGAAGTCCCAGACGTCGGAGGTTGGATTTTTCATGATTTTTTCATGATGATTAGAGGTTTTTTCGGAAGTAAATGGTGGATTTAGGATTTTCAAATCAGTTTCAGATGAACAGTTATCCATAAATTGAGGTTTTAAAATGGTTTCTGAATGGTTTCCAGTGGAAAAACTAGAGAAGGAAATGGTTCAGATTCTTCAGATTAGTCATCCCTTGCACCGCGGACACCATGGATTACCGTATAGCCCTAACATTGTTGTGGTCCCCATGGGGGTTGAATCCCCATGAGGAATGGCCCAGTTTTTTAAAGAAGGTTTTCTCTTACTGGTGCGGTGCTAAACGTAGGGTTGCTGGATGGGTTGGGAATGGGGTTGCTGGGATGATGACATTACGAATGTGATGACGATTATGGATCATTCCCGAAAATGCCCTGCGTAAGTTTAGCACCAGTAAGTTGACTTCACTTCTGAAACGTCGCTGCAACATGTGGAGGATTCTCCTTGAGTCATGTTTTTTCAAAAACAGCAGCTGTGCTGTTTCTGAATTTGGGTCCCCTGAATTCGATGTTTTTTTTCACATCACATGTTTTCCAACAAAGAAAGCGTCCCGGAAGCTGCATTCTTGGAGAACCTCAAGTATCATGTCATGTTGATGATAATGATAATAAAAATATATATATATATATACATATCCCATGATGTTCCCCAATTGTGTCCGGTAAAATTTCACCAGTTAAAATGACTGGCTGATTTTTATGACTAGGTCTATCCCTAAATTATTCCATATGATTTAAGAATTAAATCAATTACTTCCCGTATGATCCAAAAATTGCCCATGATTTCCCACAGATTTTTAAATTGGATTGCTTCAAATGGCTTAAAACAATCATCCCCAGCACGCCTAGTAGCTGACACCACGTGGCAGGTGAATTTGTTTCACATTTCGCTTCTACTCCAAGAACGACCTCGATCCCTGTGCAAGGTCAGCGAATGCCTCAAGCCGCTTAGGGTCACAGGCCAATGCCATCCCCGCATTAATAAAACATGGTTTGTATGAATAGGGGGATGATCATATGATACTTAAATGGTACCCACCCCAATTTGAAATTTTTCACAGCCGTTTGGCGTTTATTCATCCAGGGTTGACATTAGTGAACGATGATTTAGGGGGTGAAAGGGACGACAACTGTTGGGTTTATCGAACTAGTGAATGGCATGAAACTAAACCCAACAAGTCACTGGTTGAATCAACATGTCACTGGGTTGATGGTCGATCTTTTACTGGGTATACATATTTCTGGGACGAGTTTTCGCAAGGTAAACCAGTCGAATCGTGGCTGCAACTGCACCGGAAGTTCACCCTTGGCCAGTAGACCTGAAAGTGGCATGGCTTGGTTTCCCAAAATCTGTGGACCTGAAAATGGTGGATTTGTTTTTTTGTTTGGTTTCCAAATGGCCATTTTTTTTAAGGAAAAAATGAGGATTGACCAGCGGATTTAGAGACACCCTTTCTTCAGACCCATTTGAAAGCGGGGGATGAATATCCCAAGATTCACCATACATCCATTTTCAGACCATGTTTTATGGATGTAGGCATCGTTGCGAGCCGTGCGGCTTTTCATTGACTTCTGGGATCACTAAACGTTCTGCTTGGTGGTTTTACCAGCATTTTAGTAGACTTTTCATGGGTTTTCATGCTTGGTTGGTGGTTTTACAACCAAACATCCCTAGAGATTTTCGAATCCTTCAGGATCCCCTTAAAAACCTATGGTTCTCCCGCGGCCGCGGGAGGAAGAAGAAGAATTGCAACGAGTTGGGGCAGCACAGCGGGGGTTTCTTCTGGGATTTGCATAGACATGGAAGTCTCAGAAGATCTTTTCACTTTTATTTTTCCATAAAACTTCTTGAAACACAGGTTCATCCAACATGACTGGGGAATCTACTTGGATGATTATTTTTTTGATGGCCCTAGAAAGGCAAATCCAAGTAGATATGGGTGGGTCCAACAAAAATTTCACAAACATCGCCGGTCCACCAGTGAGAGCTATGGGATGTCATGGGATATAGTAGCTATGGCCTGAGGGATACATAGGGGATTTTTAAACCACTTTTGATACCCTCTGGTAAACCAACATGGCTATGGAAAATCATCATTTTTAATGGGAAAACTCACTATAAATGGCCATTTTCAATAGCTATGTTAAATTACCAGAGGGTATCATAGTTGGATAGCGTTGAGAGATATGGGTCCCACGGTCCGACATTTTTTTTTGGCCATTCTAAACCATTCCCAAGGATGGGAGACACCCAAACATCAACACCAATTGGGGATAATTTAAGATTGGATTTACCACAGTACTGTTGTGTTTGAGCAATCATCATTCTGGGTAAATTATAACGACCTCACTGTTCTCCCTCATTGGAATCATGGTTTATTTTAGGGGAATCATCCCAAAATGGCCCAACAATTCAGGTGACTGTTTTGCCTGACGTTCCGATTGATGAGTTTGCGGCCTCCTTTTTCACATGACCTTGATATGAGACGTGTTAGACAAAGGAAGTCTGTTTCACAGTGACTTCACTGCAACAAGGTTCCCTCTGGGGCTTCGGCGATCTGCTAGTGAACGTGGAAGAAAGGCCTTATTTCAGGTTAGTGAAATACTATAATTTACCCAGATGATTGACAAAAAGCCTGCAAAATGATGTGGGTTACTAGCCTGGAGCATCCAGAAGCTCAAGCCTTAGAGGAAGGCCCCCAAATGAATGATGATTGTTATACAGCCATATGCCCTTTGGGAAAAATACAAAAAACTATGGAGAAGCACAATTTTTAAAAGAAAAATCAACTATAAATCACCATTTTCAATGGCTATGTTAAATTAGAGTACCAGAGGGTAATTATACTGTAGATGTACCTACCCAAAGCCCAGTTAGCATACGGCATGGTTGAAAAACTTTCCTATCGGTGGCCCTCCCTGTTGGATGGTATAGTCCGTAGCTGACATCGAAACAAAATCAAGACATACTCTGCCCGTGAATGTGTGTGTGTGTATATATAATATAATATATATGTATATACCATGTCATGTTTTCCCGAAAACCACCATGTCATTTCTTCCGGCAAGCATTGCAAAGTCCTTTTTCCAAAATTGCCGCCAAAAAACGGTGCTTTCTTCAGCATGACTTTCAATGTACTTTAAAGTTACTGTACCTACTTTCTATATGAGCAGTCCTGTTTACATCGAGCAAACTAGTCCACATCATACCTTTCGATCAAGTCATTCAGACATGTGCAGGTATTCTCATGTCTACGTTATATGTTAGATTTGCTGGGGACGGTGTAGCTTTCATTTATATTGGCTCTAGTTTCCGAGAGCTGTGTCGCTGCTATCTTCCGTATGGTAAAACAGGGGAGCATCTTTGCAAACTCTGGGAGTGAGATCTTCTTTTTGCTAAAGCCATTCAGACCTGACCCTGTGCTTTTAGCTTCTCTCTTCCTCTCTCTCTCTCTCCCTCTCCCGGTGTATTTTTGACAGCGGTGAAACCAATATCAGTCGCTAGACCAAAACGATTAGACCAACACCAAATACCTCATACCTGACAAAGTAAGATCTGTAGCACTACTGCATGAACCATTTCAAGCTGTATGGGTTCGAGGTTGTCGCAGGTGTCGGAAATTGGGAAGCTGCTGTCTGAGGCTGTTGCTTCCAATTTCTGGGGGCTTTCCTGTCCTGGGCATTGCGGCTCTCCTGCGGCTTTCACCCTTGGACTTTCCTTTCTTGCTGGACTCTCCTCTGGGATAGCCTTGTCCTTGCTGGTTGTCCTCTTCCTGGCCTTTTGGACTTGCTGGCCATCTGCCTTCTGCCCCTCCCGATTGGCTGCTTCTCGGTTTGGGGTTGGACCTCAAGCTGCTTCCCATCGGCTGAGGGGTTACTTGCATGAGCCAAGGTCAATTGGCAATTGCCATCAATAGCCTGGACTCTAAGGTGGACCTGCTGATCACTAAGGTGGAACAGCTGACACTAAGGCTTGAGGTCTTGGAACAGGCCCTTGAGAGGCCCCGCGTTGCTGCCCCTTCGGAATCGGCCGTGTCTGCGGCAGGCTCCAAAAGCTCTCAGTACGACGGCCTTGCTGAGCAGATCCCTCCTCTTCCTGGCTGGGTTTTGGACCTTTGTGTTTCTCTGCAAGACTGCTCTCTCACAAAGCGGGAGCGAGCAGAACGAGCCTGGGAGTCAGGCACCTGGGCTAGATTTGTTTTGGAGGGCCAGATCGGTGTTCCACGTCCATCAAAGCCTATCGAGCTGCCCAACAAGATCTACGTCGTCCTGCGAGCTCCGGGATACAGCTGCCCTCTCTTTTGTGAATCGGCAGCGACCTACCGTGCAGTGGTCAGGGAGTTCAAAGGCACTCTCTCGCACGGGTTTCCGTCTCGTACTGAGGCAAGGATCTATTGTGGTGCTGCGGGTTTCACGTGGCCTGAGCAAGCTTTCCGATGGACTCCCAATCAGTAGAGACCATAGAGCAGAACCCAGCGGCTGTTTACCTTTTGAATGTGATCTCAGAAGAGGCGGAAGATGTATGCACATGCCATGCATTGGTTCTTATGAAGCGAGAAGGTGGAGTCCTTCTCGCTCTACCAGCAGGCGCCCTTCCTATGGACACTTTGCAAGCAGCTGTCGAGGCAGACCCTTTCACAATGTATGGGCCCCACATCCAAACAAGTATAAGGCTCATGGGTCCGGGAGTGGATACCGAGTCAGAGGATGTGGAGGTCCTGGTGATCGATGCAGATGGCGCGGTCCTGGCACATTTGATGCCTTTGCCAGACCCTGTGCCAGACAATTTTGTGTCTTTTGGTCCAGACCCTGCACAGCTCCCAGAGTTCAACGGGCTTCTGCAGTTCACAAGGGAATGGATTGCCGGTATGCAGGACGAGCAAACCATGGCCTTCTACTCTGCGGTCGAAGAACCTCAGCAGAATGGTCAGGGGGATCCAGCTTCTCCTACAGCCACAGCAGGTCCAAAAGCAGCCACAAAGCAGAAGGCGAAACGTACAACCACCACTGCCCTAGCAGATCAGTTGGCTCAGGTCGCAGATGTTTTGCCCCAGCTCACCAAGCAAATCATGGCCCTGCAGAGAGATCAGGAAGAGATGAGGTCTCAAATGGTTTTGCAGTCTCAGGCAGTTCCGCCGAGGGCCAGTCAGGTTCCAGTCTCCGCCCCATTGAGGAGCTTTGCAAAGATGATGGGGAGCCCTCCAAGGACGAAGGTGAAGATGTCTCCTCCATTAGGAGCTGCAGAGAAGGAAACCCAGGAGGAGGGGCTCCCTCTAGAGGATGCAGAAGGCCAACTGAGCCCGGGCGGAGGTTTCTTAGCCCAAGCTGTCCTGGAGCAGTCGAAGGCCCTCACGAACCTGGTTTCTCAACTTCAGACAGGAGGAGATCCCTTGCTAGATGGGCAAGCAGGGCCATCCAACATAGCTTTGGGGTCAAGAGGGGCTCAAGGGCGCGAAAAGTTGCAGATGGAGCTATCCACAAGATCAGGAGGATTTTTCCTGGCGGTGTTGCAGAACGCTTTCAAGAGGATGCGGCCAGCAGCAAAGATCCCAGTCTCAATTGCGGCCGCCCAGGAAATGGACATATCCATGGTGACTTACTTGGAGAAGTTCGGTGGCTACGGGCAGTCGCGAGAAATGGGATTGGTCCAGTACTGCCTGGCCCACATCTTCGACAATGCGCTCCAGAACGACATGGATGGGGTGAGGGAGCACATCGCTCTCCTGATGACTGCAGTGGAGCAGGCGGTTCAGGATGGCAACAAGTGGGAGTTGGCCTACCAGCTGACTCTGCTGGAGGAGCCCCCCTCTCAGATGTGGGCTTACCGCCACTCCATCACCCAAACCAGGCTGAGGGCTTTTGCCCCGTTGTGCCCGCAACGATGGGCCACAGTTGCGTTGGCCTACGCGAAAGAAGTGGATTTTATACAAAATCGGAAGAACGAGATGAACAAGAGATCCACTCCATCTCAGCCTTCGCAGGAGCCGAGCGAGCAGCCGAAGCCGAAGCCAAAGCGAAAGCCAAAATGGCAAGGAGGGCAAGGAGGAAATGCAAACAGCAGGAAAGAAGAAGAGGCCTAGCCTCACCCATACAGGATCAGGTGCAACTTGGCTTTCCTGGTGCAACCTCTTCTAATGCGACAGGGCTTTGCAATCAAGATCCATTACAAGACCTGATGCCCACCTCCTCACCGAGTTCTTCTTCCACAGCGCGGCCTGCCTCTGGTAGGACTGCGAAGTCCGGGAGGGAGGATGGGTATCATGACAGAGCTCTGACGGAGCGAGCGCCATGGCCTGATTCTGACGAAGGCCAAAAGGAAAGCCATGCACCTGGACCTGAATTTGATGCATCTTCCTTGGAGGGAGTTCCAATCAGTGTCTGGACAAATGGGCACATTAGAAGGATCTTGCGCTCCAGGACAACTTTCTCACTTTATTTGCTGAGGTCCTTCACCCTTTGCCGTGAGAGATCGAGCTCTCTCGCAACCGCCTTGTTCCCCATCCCTGTGCCATTTTTGGGTGTTTGGGATTGTGGCCTGAAGAAGATGAACGCTGCAGCACGGAGGTTGGCTGCAAAGAGGAAGCTTTTGCATGTAGCCGTGATGGCTCTCAATTTTATGCATGACAGAGCTCCTTTGAAAAGTTTGGGGCTTCTTCAGAGGCGTCCGGCCTTGCACCACATTGCTGTGTATGAGAGGCTGATGACGATCATCAAGGCGAGCGTCCTATCCGAAGTTGCTACAATTGCGAGGTGTGGACGGAAGAGCCATCAATTAGATGCAAGGATTCACGAGCTGTACAAGGTGCTTGTAGATGAGGGCCTTACTGAAAAATCAAAGTACCACCAACTCAGCTCAGAAGCTCCTGTTGACCTTTGCAATGACAAGGCAGAAGAGCTTCGGCCCTATCGTTCCTTGGATGCCTCTCGTTTGAAGATTACAGGTCAGGGCCAGTGGGACTGCAGGCCTTTCATGGGAAGCTTGCTGTATATGCCATTTGTGGAGCCACGTTTCAATGAGTATGACATTGTTCCCCCTGATGACATGTGTCCTGATGTTCGACATGAAGATCCATACGAGGTCGACAAGTTGGCAAAAGTTTGGGATGCAAAAGGTCTGCTCAGGCTTGTTCCGGATGCACTGGCTCCTAGAGACTACAGGTTCTACAGCAGGGCTTCAACAACTATAAGTCGGTTTTGGTTGACCGTCAGATTGGGGATCGTAGAGGCCAGAACTTCAGAGAGGGGCGCCTTGGCCATGGACCCTCTCATGATCTTCTCACTGGAGTCTCTCTCTTGCAGATCATGCCAAAGCGTTTTGAGGAGGGCCTAAAGGGGTACGTGACAGACCGCAGAGATTTCTACCACCAGTTTCAAGCAACGTGGGAAAGGAGTTTGACGAACGTGGTCTATCCTTTGAGGCCCTTGTCAGGTTTCAGAGAGCTTGATGCGTTTGAGAGATGCTTGGAAGTTTTTGGGAAGAAGAGGAGGAAACATGATCGTTTCATGTCAGGAGACTTTCTCCATGGAAAGAGGCGCAGCATTTTGGTGGAAGAAGGCTCAAAGGTTGCAGTTTCATTTGGGTCTCTTTTTCAAGGTGACCACCTTGGTGTTGAGTTTGCATGTGATGCTCATCAAAACCTGCTCCTTCACTACGGCTTGCTCAACCCGACATGCAGGCTGACAGCTTCTCAAGCAATTTTGGATGATACAGTAGTAGAAGGTTTGGTCATTGATGACTACTTCGTTGTTGCCAAGCATGTCCTTGGAGAAGCTTTGAAAACGTGTGGCGGGCATGAGCGCCTTGTCCAAGCCAAGGCAGCCTATGAGGAGCAGAACATCTATGGGTCAGATGACAAAGATGTTTGGGGTGAGAAGGTCTTCAAAGTTGTGGGTGCAGAAATTGATGCGCGCGATGAGCTGGTGAGAAAAGGTGCGGTGTTGTGTGGAGTCCCAGCTGACAAGAGGATGGCTTTGGCATCTGTATCGGCTTTGGTGTGCTCATGGCCCTGCACCTCTGACAGCTTGCACCCCAGCATTGTTGGGTCTTTGGTTTCTGCATTGATGTTCCGCAGACCTTTGATGGCCATCCTGAATGAAGTTTTCCACGTGATCCCTGCGCATGAGCTTGATCCTCTTCGCCCTGTGCTCAGAAAGCTCCCTCGGAAGGCAGCACAAGAGTTTGCGCTGGCGGCTGCTCTCTGTCCTATCATGGTTTCAAACTTGGCAGTAGATGTGGATAGCAAGCTCTACGCGACAGACGCTTCCAATAGTATGGGAGGTATTGCCTCCACTGAAGTCCCTGACCATGTGGCAAGGTTTCTCTGGAGAACTGCAGACAAGAAAGGGGCCAACATCCCGATTCTGTCCCGTATTCAAGCCTTGATTGCTACGTACGAAGAAGCTCCAGAGGATTCACACTTGATGTTGCAGCCAGGAGGGGACTGTGAACAGGTGCCCAGACCTATTGGATTGAGGTTTGATTTCATTGAGGTTTTTGGAGGAGCAGGGGTTGTGACGAAGTACTTGTGTCAGATGAACGTCGTTTGCGCCCCTGTCATGGACATCTCATTTAGCCTGCAGTATGACCTCATGGATGTCAGAGTTGTGGAGTGGCTCATTTTCATGTTGGAGTCAAAGAGGATACATGCAGTGCTTTTGGCACCGCCTTGCACTACGTTTTCTCCAGCTGCTTATCCTCCTTGCAGGTCGTATGAGAACCCATTGGGCTTCAACAGAAGTGAGTTCAAGGTCTACCATGGAACCAAGCTTGCACATGCCTCTCTTTGCATCATGTTCACGACTATGCGTACAGACTCTTTAGGCCTTTTGGAGCAGCCGAGACGTTCAAAGATGCGGTGGCTCGCTACCTGGAAGCGACTGGTGGAAATGGGCATGGAGGAGCATTTTCTGGCTAGCTGTTCTTTTGGGAGCATTCACATGAAGGAGTTTTGTTTTGCGGCCGTGAACATGCAAGCTGAAAGCCTTGATAGGCCATGCACAAGGGATCACAACCACATCAAGATTGAAGGCAAGTTCACCAGACCTTCAGCTACGTATGTGGATGGATTAGCATATGAGCTTGCCTGCGTTTTCAAGAGGAACCTTGATGCCATGCACAAGGCATTGCAAGCTACCGAGGTTGCAGTTGAGGGCCTTGAGGATCCAGTGTCAAATGACGTTGCTCTTGCCTATGAATGGAAGGTCGAAGACAGCTGGAGATGGAAGGGCAGTTCCCATATCAATGTTTTGGAAACTGCCAGCACTTTGAGACTGATGAGAAGGCTTGCGCGTGGAGGAGGAGATGTGCGTGCCACCTATCTGGGTGACTCCCATGTGTCACGCTCTTGCATGGCCAAAGGGAGGTCATCGTCGTTGGCCTTGAAACCCCTTCTTCATCAATCAGCTGCGATTTCCACGGCATATGGCTTATATCTTGCTGGACGTTTTGCTCCTACCAGGCTCATGCCAGCCGATCATCCTTCCAGAGGTGCCAGTATTCCTCCTCCAGTCCCGGCCTCAATTGTCAAGTGCAGAGACTCTAGGATCCTAGCTGTCCTTGGAAAGATATCAAAAGTGAAAAGATGGGCCTCGAATTGGATCAGACTTGTTTTGCTGCTGTCCCCTTCCATTTTGGATTTTCACGTTTCTGATGAATGCTGTCGGATTTACCCAGCCACATATGCTCCAAATGCCAACAGTTTCAGTGCGTTTGATTCATCTCTTGGTTTTCCCGGAGAGGGGCCTGGATTTGGATTTACAGCCCCTTTCCAGCTTACCTGGCTTGGACTTGGACTTACTGCCAGTCTCCTTCAGCCGCATGCCCTTTTTGCCCCCCTCTTGCTTCCTTGGAATTTGAGCTGTGGACTTGGGGTGCTGGGGGCGGGTGCTGTAGCGGGTAGGACCATCCCAAAGGGGATCAGCCATGGAGATCTGACCAGGCAGGCGGCAAGGGCTGGAATAGAACTGGGCGATGGCAGGCGAACAACAGAAGCGACAGCTGCAGCAAGGACTGACCTTCTGTCTGTGCTGTGCAACTGGCTGGCTGAAAGGGAAACTGCTTTCGAAGATTTGTTTCTTGCAAATCCACCTGACCTGGACAAGATCAACCAAGTTCTGACCGAATATGGCAGGTGGCTGTTCAAGAAAGGAAAGCCGTATTACCATTACAGCGAGACCATTAACGCTGTATCTTCGAGAAGGCCAATTCTGAGAAGGGCTTTGCAGCAAGCTTGGGACTTAGCTTTCATGTGGGGATCCTATGAACCTACGGAGCATCATGTGGGGATGCCTTTTCAGATCTTGCTGGCGGTGCTCAGCACGATGCTGATATGGGGCTGGACCCGTGAAGCTGCTTGCATGGCCTTAGCGTGGGGTTCATTGCTACGAATTGGAGAGGTGTTGAATGCGACCAGGAAGGATCTCATTCTTCCTGATGATGTTGCTGGATCAATATCCTATACTCTGCTACGTATCAAAGAACCAAAGACGCGCTTCCGTGCAGCGAGGCATCAGGCAGGCAAGATGGAACAACCGGATCTGATTTCTGTCGTGCAGCTGGGATTTGCGAAGCTGAAAAACAGTGAGCCGCTTTGGCATTTGCCAGGAGCAACACTGAGACACAGGCTTGAGAAAGTCCTAGCTGCTTTGGGTCTGCCATATCGCTCAGGTCAAAAGCCGAAAGCCTTGACACTGGCTTCGCTGAGTGCTGGAGGTGCGACGTGGCTCATCACAGCGACAGAATCAGCAGATTTGGTGAAAAGGAGAGGAAGGTGGGCATCCCACCGTATCATGGAGATTTATCTTCAAGAAGTGAGTGCAGCGACGTACCTGAATGATCTGGACCGACACGTGCGACAACAAGTGTTGGAAGCTATGGAGCTTTTTCCAGAAGTTCTGCAAAATGCGTTGCTTTTTGCGAAGCTTTCTTTTCCAAGTCCCACATGGTCTTGGTTTTTCAAGCATGGAACGTTGTAGACATGTATAGGATGGGAAAGATGGGTGCAATCATGTAAAGGCAGCTCACCAACTCCAACCCTATGCAACCAACATAAGCAAGGGTGAAGGAAAAAGGAGTGCGTTTGATCTTGACAAAGTAAGATCTGTAGCACTACTGCATGAACCATTTCAAGCTGTCCCACCAGCCGCCCCATCGACCTCCAGTCACCGTTCCATGCTTTCTTACTTTCTGTTGGAGTGGGTGCAATCATGTAAAGGCAGCTCACCAACTCCAACCCTATGCAACCAACATAAGCAAGGGTGAAGGAAAAAGGAGTGCGTTTGATCTTATATAATGGTTGATTGTGGGCAAAACTTTTGGGAAAAACGATCAACCCATTGCACATCTGCAAAGACAAACATGTTTTTTTTCGCCATGCGACTTGCTTGTCTAATTGTGTTGCCCAACTTCTTCAAGGCTTTCAACCTCAACTTGTTTTCCCCTGTAAACCAGAAATTTCTATCACAATTGAAGATGGTCTTGTTTCGTCAGTTTGCGGCGCGAAGAAAACGCAATCGCAAAATGCAAGAGCCACATTTCTCTCACAATAAAGCGCAAACAAACACGAAAATGATCACAAAAATGATAGACATACTGAGGCACTATTGCGTTTGTTTATGGCGTGTTTGCAACTTTCTACTTGCAAAAATAAATCTTGTAAGAATTCAAGGAAGAGGATCAAGGGGAAAACAACGTAAACACAGGGAGGTTGCCACAGTTGGGACCAAAGCAAAAATGCAAACATTTGCAAACGAATGCAAACATGAGTGAACATGTGTAAAAAAACAGCACTACACAGAGATTTCTGGTTTCAGTGTTGGTGTCAGTCCTATAACGAACACGTAGAAAGTGCAAACATGTAACAACAAATGCATTAAAATGAAAAAAAACAAAGACACTGTAGCACTGCACAAAGGTTGCTAGTTCAGTTATCATCCAATGAACATTCATAAACCGAGGCCAAATGCGAAGATATGCAAAAAAACATGCAAGACAGTGCAAAACATGTCTTTAAACATCATGAAAAAAACCGTTGAAAAAGTGCCAGGAAGTGTTAAAATACCAAGGTCTTGGGGGAGCATGTGCTGCACCAGCAAATTCTGTCGTTGTCAGAGGCGCGGATATTTTTTTTTTTTGGCCGCAAGTGGGATATGACATGATATAACAAGAATGAAATGAACATGGGGATATAGTGCTTTTTGATGGGGATTGTATTGGTTTGATGGGGGTTAACCAGCAAAGAAGTCATGTTTTGGAGATATCCTGCTGGTCAGGGTCATATTCTGGAAACGCCTCGGATGATGTTCTTCAACCATGCTTTGATCATTTTCCACCCAAATTGGTCCTCACACGCCCGGTTATAACTGGTATAACTGCATGACTGACATGTTTATTGGTTGATTTCATGATTCGCGAAGTTGCATCGGGGTGCACAAAAACACAAAACAAGACAAGGGTTGATTTGTGTCCAACGTTTTTTTGAATTGATTTTGAGGTGCAATCTAGGGGCAGTGACGTTGTTTGTGGGCTGCATCCGGTGCCAAAGCCATGTTGCAGGCCGGCGAATGGCAGCGTCTTTGTGGCGGTCTGCTAGTTGAAGAGGGCCAGGAGCAAAGTGCGCAGGTACCATCTGGAAGGGCTCGTGGATGGGAAGGGTAATACATCCCCCTGTGATATTTCCTGAAATAGGGGTACCTAGGTATTGAGTAGAAGTTTGATTTTCTTTAGAGACGTTTGGGTACAATTTGTCCAAACAAATACGACAAATGCAACACGCTAGATATATATATACATACACATATACATATGCAGTATATATATATATTTACATATATATATATATAGACATGCACACAGTATTGTTTTTGCAGTGCATCAAGCAGAGCTTGGCCATGCCATTTGTGGGGTAGGAATCATTCTTGCAACTAAAATGCTTTTGGGGTTTGGGCACGTTGGAGATTCACAGAGTAACCAAAAAGTCAGTGGATTTACATCAAGTAGACCAAAGTGGCTATCGTTAAACAAAGCATTTCCAAAACATTGTTAAGAACTACGGTTCATTTTAGATCCCATCTCCTTCACAACCCCATTCACCCCCCAAAATCAATAGATCCAAACAACAGTTTGGGACATTTTTTCGCCTCTGTTCGACCTTTCGTTGCTTTTCTGTTTTTTTTTGAGCTTCTCTGCTTCTGTGCTTTCTTGCTTTGCTGCTTCTTCGCTCTTTTGCTTTTCTGCTTTTCTGATTGTTTGCGTCTCCGCTTTCCTGCTTCTTTGCTTCTCTGCTTTTCTGCTTCTTTGCTTTTCCGCTTCTTTGCTTGTCTGCTTTTGCTTTTATGTTTTTCCCTGCTTCTCTGTTTCTCCGTTTTTTTTGCTTTTCTGCTTTGTCTGTGTTCTATATTGGCCTTTCTGCTTTTTGCTGCTTCTCTAGTCTGCTTTCTTTTCTGTGCCTTTCTGCTTCTCTCGGTCTTTCTGTTTTGCTTTGGCGTTTTTTGCTTCTCTCCTTTTTTGAATGTTATATGTACCATGAGCGGTCTATGACTATGTTTCCAGGCTTGGTGGGGCCGTCACTTTTCTCCCCTTGAAGCTCCTCGATGCTTCGCTGCCATTTGATGAGGGTGACCTTGATCAGGTCCTGTTCCGCTGAGATTCCAGATGTGGCAGCGCATTGTCAATGGTCGGTATAAGAAGCTGGCTAGAGAGCGCAAAGCTCTCGGTCGTGCCGACAATTAGCTTTGTCTGTTTGCCAATTCGCTTGTTGCTTGCAGTTTTCTTGGGCTTGTTCCTTGTTGTATTGTACAGTCGCATGGTTCACCCCTTTTCTTTCACATCGTACCCCCTTCAGGAAGGGACATCAACCAACAAGAACAGCAACATCAACATCAGCATCATCAACAACAACAGCAACAAACAACCAACAACAAACAACAACCAACAACAAACGACAAACCACCAACAAACAAACAATCAACCACACTAGCACTAGCACTAGCACTAGCACTACCAACAAGAACAACAACATCAACATCATCATCATCATCATCATCATCAACAACAACAACAACCACAACCCGTAAGTGCCCCAAATACCATGCCATACCATGCAACCAGAAAATTTCCAGCGTCTACATGTTGCAGCTATTATGGAGAATGAAAAGGACATGGTGGAAATGTAACAGAATTTGGCATGCCTTAGCTCCAAAATCGTGCAAAGACCATGTGAAACGCAAAGTTCTAGCTTCCAAGTGCTGCAGTGCTGCAGCTAGAGGCAAACAAGAATCCGGAAAAAAATCCCCAAACTGACCCGGAAAAAATCTGCAAACAAATAGGCACCCTTTATATAATATCAAATAGGGGGAAGGGATTATTCACAAAGTTCCCCTTTTCTTGAGAGTTTGAGGCCGTAGAATCCCCGAGTTGTCCTGCGGACTAGACATGTGTGTTATAGCAACAGCAAGTGGATCTACCCTCCTGTAATCAAACATGGCAGGGAAATCCGCAATAAAAATGGCCATTTACATGAGAATATCATTGAACCAATGTTTTTTTCTTTACGATTATATGAGTACCCAACTAAAAACCTGCTGCAACATACTGGATTTATTGATAAATTGGGATCATCTTCGAAAGTTTCATGAATTTGGGGGCAGAGAGTCAAAACGATTGCTGGACAAAACCATCTACTGTTGGGATATGCTGGGATATTGCTTGTCGTAACCCTGACAAAGATCGCAAAAAAAACAATTATAGTAAGAAACACAATTCTACTTTTGGACCTTTTTTGGGGTCACTTTATATTTCAAGTAGCTTAAGTTTCCATTGTTTCCATTGGCGCAATGGCACTGCGACGGTCTATCCACGTGGACGTCCCGTGGTAGGTTCGGATTATCGTCAGCGGCCACTGCGATGTGTACATCCGTGGCTTAAAGGCGGGCGCCGCAACGGGCGCCTCCTGGCGCCTCCGACTTGTGGGAAGCCAACAAGAATGGCTATGGAACAGACCCAAACATATCATGTATATATAATTATATATATATAATTATATATATAATTATATATATAAATATGTATATATATAATTATGTATAATATACATATATATATATATATATATACAGTATTTTTTCCGTATCCTTAAATTGTGACCTTAGCACCGTTCTCTTGTGTTTTGCATAGCAAACTGATCAGAGATACGATTCACATTAGAGATGATGTACGGTAAGTTTTCAGATATTGAACCAACTAATTTGAGGGGGCCCAATCATTTGGCCCACATCAAGATGAAGGCATCCGTTTAAAGATTCATGACAGCGTTGTGGTGCTCCGGTCCCCTCGGCAATCAACCATGGGGTGGAAAGTCCACCATTTGGTTCCACGATTTTTCCATTGAAAGGTAATTTATTGTTGAATTTCCCATCCAACCATATTTGAATACTGGACACACATGGACACACAAAAAACATACCTAGCGAACTGCATTTTGGCATGGTGTAGCTGCAAGTCTGTAGCTGGTGGTTTCAGGAAATCCTGCAGCTTTAAACCCAACATGTGGGATGATGATCATTTTTTGGGTGGTGGTGGATGGTTCAACAACATCATATTTGAAGCGTTCTTATGCGAGGTGAATCCTTTTTTTTGTTATACATTGTATACATATTTCCACTACATGCCATGAAATATCAGTATCCAAAAATCCGTTGTGTCAAAATGGACAATCGATTGTTTTTTTTGCGTCCCGTCCCATGGGTCAAAAGCCTCCGCAGAATTCTGGTCAAAAGCCTCCGCGAGAAAAACACTGGAAGCCCATGGATGTGATCAGCGAAATCGGAAATCATGGGGGTTTCCATAAAAATTCAATTTTCCAGAGGGTAAATTTCAGGGTAAATCCTGAAATTTGATGAAAAAAAAATTAAAACCTCTATGACTTTGGGTTGGGGCTGATCCACCATTCTGAAGTCCTCTGAAGTCCTCTGAAAAGGTGGGTGAACTGTCACCTGGTGCAGCGGTTGGGGCTGAAGTGCTGGCCCTGCGATTGCTAGGCGCAGCAAAACTGGAAACCAGCACAGCATTTTAGAGATTACATGGGAGAGCTGTGATGTGTGTCTAGTTTATAGACATGTACAATACTGGTTGGTGGTTTCACACATTTTTTATTTTCCCCTATTTTGTTGGGATGATGATCCAATCTGACGAACTCATATTTATCAGAGGGGTAGGTCAACCACCAACCAGAATATGTAGTATGAGATGGGTCTGTTCGAAAATAGAGGATATAGCCAGGATATCTGCCCCCAGTAGCGTTTTGAATGTTTTGAATGGGGAAAGTGAAGCTGGAAACCATGGGGATAAGTGTGGTCGTTTTAAACGACTGGACCACCCCCAGCTGGTGTCTGGAATTCCGCTTTATTTTTGAGGATTGAAGGACCAGGTAAGCTGGGCGTCCTTTTATCCTTTTAGGTGTCAAAGACTTGATTCTGGATACAGATGTTTGCCTAACCTGGCGCTTCTGTTTCCTCATCTTGGAAAGCCGGGTATCATGCAGTTTTTGGCGGTTGGACCATGATTTTAGTTTGTGATATCCGACATATCCACGTTTTTGTCAGCTCAATCAAACATTGTTCGTGGTTGTCAATACCAACTGTTGAGATAATACCCATGTTGAGATAATGGGTGTTAGTGTTTGAAATATTATGAATAAAAACCTTTTGATGTTGGTGTTTAGATATAGCCATGTTGAGATAAAACCCCAAACCTTCTGAGAATACGAGCAGTTTCATCCACAGGCCCTGCTACAGCGACTGAGACAGGCACGGGGGCCTGCTGCCATCCAAAAAGGATGGTGGGGTCCCATCCAACGATCACTGGGATATGCTATATCTATGGTTAATCTATGGTTTATCCATGGTTGATCTATGGTTGATCTATGGGTAATAATGGTTAATAATGGTTAATAATTGGAATAACAATATATCTGGTTGGTGGTTTGGAACATGATCTTTATTTTTCCATTAATATTGGGAATGTCCATCATCCCAACTGACGAACTCCGTCATTTTTTCAGAGGGGGAGGTATACCACCAAGCAGATATCTGATTTATAGCTATGGAAAGATCCACCCATTTTTATAGCTGGGAAGTTATCAACTATTTCGACTGGGCCATGGCTTCATAATAGCTATCTTTTCTGTTTACCAGGCCGGGTAAGTCGACAATGACTTGCAAACCAAGTCCATCAGGACTAAAACAGTTGATCGTTGAGTAAACCTACGACATAGCGATGGTGGAAATCCATGGGGCTCCCTTAGAAATGATCCACAAATGGGAAGTGGAATTCCCTGGCTATGTGGAAAAGTACCAGGGGATAACTTTTAAGCCTTTCTGAAAATCATTGGACCTGTCATTTTATCACATGTCACAGCATGGGAAAGCTGGATCTGAGTAGATCCAAGTGGGATGAATTTGGGATGAAGGTTTGTGATTTGGATGGTGCTTTTTGTATGTTCATAAAATGTGCATGCATAGGTATGCAGATGACACATGCAAAATATGGCACAGATGATCCATACATATATATATATACATACACATGCAGGGATATGTATACACATAAACACAGAGACACATGTTAAATATCATATTTTTTGGCCGCTTCAGAATGGGATCCTCAAGTCACCTTCACCATTTACTTGGCACAGGTGAAGAAGCTGTGGCAAAAGCCACAGTGGAGTGCAGAGACGAGGCAGAGATTTTTCGGAAGTGAAGTCAAATTGGGGGCATAAGAATCAAACCAATCTAATCACAATACTGGGGGTATAAAATGGTACAAAACCTATTAAATCATAGCACTGGGGGCTTAAAACCAATCTAACCCCATAGTACTGGGGGTATAAAAACCAATCAAACCGAATCACACCTATCATTTCATGGTGATATAGGGATACAATAGACATTCATACTCATTTTTTTGAATTTTACCTTTGCCAGTGAGTTCCTAGTTTCAATCCTTGAAGTCTTTGGATACTGTGGAAGAACTCCACCAAAAGGATGGTGTTTTAACATGTTTTAACTAGTTCAAAACCAATCATGGGATGTTTACCACCTTTCATCTCTATCAACTGCAGCATTTCGCACCCACAGAATCATCCCTGACCGCATCCATTCACCGCTGACCGCGGCGGCATGGTGCAGGTCTTCTGCTTGTGCCTCCCTTGGAGCTGGCTGAAATCAGAGCCAAATCTCATGGAGGTGCCAACGGTACAGGCTATGGCGAGGGTATGTTTGTTTTGTATAGATATAGCCTCTGGTTATGACATTCACAGGGCTAGCCATGGTAGAGCCATGGCCCATTTATCGAAATAGATGGTTTAGCTATTATAAATGGTGATTTTCCATGGCGAACTGTTAAACAACCAGATGGTAGATCTTGATATGGATATATATAACATTCTCATAACAATCATATACTCATTATTCTGCCATACTGGACTTATATACCCAATACCCAAACTATCCCAAACTAGTGGTTTCTTTGCATCCATGATTGTAGCATTTTTTTTTGAAGCCCAAGTGCACCTTCAAGTATCCAGAATAGCCATTCTTCCCAGTAAAGATGAAAAAGCAACTTGGTTTCCTGTCAAGCATCTCTTCAATGACTCCACAAAATTATAGTTATTTTGTTGAGATAAATCATACGAAACACATGTTACTGTATGTCCACCATTTCTGGGCTGATGCAATCAGGTACCCCAGTCGGCTCCGAGCCTGACATGTTTGCCCCATGTGGCTGTTTGAAATGTCCATTTGGTTTTGTCTGAAAATAGGGTATGCCTCCATTGTTTAACACTATCCCAATACCCCTCCAGATACCACTGGCCAATATATTTCATTTATATAGTCCTACCAAAAAGCGTCATTTGGAGGTATGGGGTTGGGGGCAGCGTGTCAGGCGCTGCGGAAAGGATTTGCAACCTCACTGGCAGCACAGGTGCCATGCAGTGGAATTCGCCCTGTATAGCAACCAAAAGAGTGCAGAAACTCAAATCCTGCCAAGATAATGGTAAATTTGGGGGTTACTATGATGACCCCTTTTGTCTTTCAGGAACTATGGCACAGAAATACTTTTTTTGCAGGGGTGTTGTGTTGACATGATTGCAGGGGAATGTATCAGTTATGTCGGGATTGAGGGGCAAACTTTCGATGGTTTGACTTGAGTGGTGCAAACCACGATTGAAAGGTAACTTGTGTATGGATCTGACTTGCAAAGATCCGCAATTTCTAATTACTGTTGATAGTGCTCACAGTAAAATCATCTATTCCCTGCAGATATTATCATCTATAAGGTACTTAGATGTGGAAATTGTAATTGGATTGGATAAGTACATCTAAGTACAATAAATGTGAGGACATGGTGAAATCCATAAATCATCTAAAATTTCATGGATTTTTAGATCCATAAATCCAGAAATCCAATTTCTCTTCCGCGGCCTTCGCCGCCAGGTCGCTGCGGGGGATAAGGCCGCGCGTTTGTTGGAGTATGGCGCCGTCTTAGAGATGGTGCCTCGGTCTGACCGGAAGCCACAGATGATGCATATACATCCATACATACACACATGTATATATTATATACTTATATATATATATACTTATATATATAATATGTATATAATATATAATATTAATGTAATATATGATATGATATGATATGATATATGCATGATATATATATATATATATATCAATATACATATCCCTTTATCCCTTTATCGACCCCATCCAGTCGATCCCAGGCCTGCTATTCCGCCGCTTTGGTGCCGGACAGTGGCGCTGCGCCAAGTGGCCTGCGCCGCGCGGTGACGCGCCGGGAGCGCCAAGCCATGCACAGCACAGTCCATAGATGGTGGTACCCCCAAATGGATGATTTGGGGGTACCCCTATTTCGGGAACCCCCCATATGACATGAATGGCTTATCATTTTTTTTATGCTTTGAATAGTTTATCATTCTGATCATTTGTAAATTTTGAACTAATGGTTGATTCTGAATCAAGACATTAATGATTTTTTTATTGGATTCCAAGTCTTGGAGGCTGGAAACAAAGACCGAAGTGCGGTAAAACGGCAGTGTGAAACTCATCTAGAATCTATAATTGGATCCATTGTAAGGAAAGACTACTGAATCGGGCTTATAATTTCCCGTGCCAGCTTGCCAAACTGTGACCTAATTTTATGGGCTTTGATTGTTAGTAATTTGTGAGCAAAACCATTCATTTTTGCTTTGTTGACTGTTCGTACACAGCAGCGGACCGAAATGTAAGGGTTGAGACTTAACTATCCTTGCTTTCGCCTGTTTTTAATGCTTACTTGCAGTTAACGTATAGAAATGAAGTTTTTGTGGAGGCATTTGCTTTGCCCATTGAATCATGGGGGATATCCTAAGCTGGTTCTTGTCTGAGAAAACCGTAGGAAGTTTGACACTTTAATCCTTTGCCCATTGAATCATGGGGGATATCGCTGAACAGCTCTGCGCCGAGGCATTTGGGGCCCGTCGCCGCCTAGCACCTCGCCCAAGCGAGGCTCCACACGGAAGGTCGCGGTCGGGTCCATCCCGTCCTTGACGGTGCCAATGCTGGAGGACTGGCGCTTGCCAGTTGCTTGATGATTCATCCCACAGATCGTAAGTAGCTTGTAAGATTTATAAGCCTGGTTTTGTTAATGGGCGTTTTGTAGGGTTAATCTACTGGGGTTAATCCACTGGGATGAAGCTCCAAGTAGGCAACAGGTATGAGGATTTCATGGGAGAAAAAAACCTCAATGGCAAAGAAATACTTTTGGGAATTCATTTTTTTGCTAACTCCATGCTCCCCCTGGGTGCGGTTCCAGTTTAGAAACTATTTGTCGCCACAGTTTCGCCTCAGCGGTTGTGTAAATCGAAAAATCTCCCAACTGATGTGGGTTATTTCACCCTGGCTTTACCCATAACTCCAACACCCCAAAGGGGTTCATTCATGTTGATTCCATACGAATGTGCCATGCCAATGGGCCAATGACCTTCTCCGGCGTGCGCATCCCATGAATCGCAAGTGGAGTTTTTTGAATCCATTTATAACCCAATATGATCCCTATACAACTCGAGAGATGTTGCACAGCTGGGGTTTGATATGGTTGCCCTTCAGTAGTTTAACCTGGCAACAAACATCACCAATTCTTGTCGATGATTGATATTATCTCACATTGGCATGTCAAATTGCCAGAGGGTATTTGCCACTTGCGATTTCTGGATCCTACACATCCGTAGAATCACCCATCAACCATCATCTATCAATTATATCCATCCATGTCGCCATAGTCTGATGGTCAAGATCCCTCCAAATGGGTGTGTTTGACACTGGGGTTGCTATTTCAAGGAAAAAACGGTTTAGTTTAGTAGTTGCGAAATCTCAGACAAACCCAGAGTCATGTTGTTGGTTATCCCCATCATATCCCCATTGATTCCCGCGAAAATGGTTGATTCTATAGCCCCGCTCAACTTCATCCGTTTTCCAGAATTTCACCCACAACCATGACATTTTCCGAACCATCCTATGACCATCATATCCCCATGGTTTCCCCATGGTTTCCCCACGGTTTCGCCATGTTTCGCCCCTTCTGGATTCACCAGGAAGCTTTGGAGCGTCTGCGTGCGCAGCTGGGCATCTCGCATGAGGCCCTGAATCCCAGAATGCTGATCTCCAACTATGTCCCATTCTATCCCCATGGTTGCTTCACATCGTTAATTCTATACAGTATATATATATAGATACTAACTATCTATATAGATACTAACTATCTGTAATGTTACATCGACAATAGTAAACGGGGGTCCCCCCCATTTTTTTTTAAGGGGGGGTCTGCTTTGCAATAGTAAATCGAAAATCCCAACTCTTCCCCGAAGGCTTCTGTAAGGTTTTGACAAATCCTCTCTTTTCTGATGGGCTCTGATGGGATCTTCATTGGATTCTGATAGGAAGAAGGGAAAAAAATGCCTGCTAGAGCCAGGAAGGTTGTTTCTTATTGCAAGTGCTAATTCCAGTTTTTAATTGCAAATGCAAGGACCTGCAAGGGGGTACCCTTTGTGGACCTGTTTTTTGCAATTTTTTAAAAGGATTTTAATAAAGAAAACAATTTTTTTGAACAAGGTAAAGTTTTTGATTTGGTAAAGGTTTGCTCTGTTTTTGCCTTTGTAAAACATGCAATCACAATTAAAAACCATTCAACCACAATTAAAAACACTAAGGAAGAAGGGAAAAAATACAGCTGAACTGTAACTGGTTCTGAATTTTTTTCCTGCATCCATACTAAATCTCAATTAGTTCCTTTACAATTTAGTATTGGAAAATCTGATAATTTTGGAATTTTCTGAAAATTATTTGTAGCTATTGCGAATGAACCACATTTATTGCAGATGCTCTGGACCAAGGTTGATGTTTGTAATTTAAAATCAATAAGGCCTAATTTAAAATCAATAGGGGCTGAAAAATAGGATTCTGAAAATTATTTGTAGCTATTGCACGCGCTTTACTATTGTCCATCCAACATTATATATATATATATCTATGTTGTATATAGATATACATCCCCATGAATGTGTTGCTAAACGCAAGAGATTTCTGGCCCCCAGGAGCATTGCATGGTGGTTGAAACCTTGCCGAAAGACTGCCATGGCAACAAGTTCCTGCGTCGGGCGCTGAGACATCCTCCGGAGTTGCAATGTGAGTCATGAAAAACATCGCCTTGTTGATAGGTTACTTTTTGGGGAGTCAAAAACTACCTGGGTTATTGGGGATTAAAACCCCTAGTAGGGAGATTTACCAACCAAGTCTTTCTTGTACTATCGATGCTGTTCCTTTTCTCGAAATTTTAAGGTCCTCTTTCATGGTCTTACTAGAAGGGGACTCAAGACATGACGTAACTATGTGCGTACCCTTCTTTCGCAGAATAAGCCTTTGTTTGCCAGCTTAAAAGATAAATTTTGACTACGAACGGGCATATGTATGCATTCAAAACTCTCCTTCTTTAGTAATTGACCATTGTGACCCAATCATTTTTGTTCCGTTAAAAAAGAGGGTCTAACATACCGGAGGTAAGGTAAGCCATGACGAAAACTCATTTTGCTGCCACCGTTCGAGGGTGGCCAACATTTTCATGAGACAACCAAGGCGAACTAACCACCATGAGTCCGCTTATGAGTATGGATTACCATCTGGTTATTTAACAGTTTGCCATGGAAAATCACAATCCCCATTTTTAAGTTCGGTAAACCATCTGAATCTATTTCTATGGGCCATGGCTCTACCATGGCGATGTTTAACAAATAACCAGAGGGTAATAGCTATGGGCCCATTGGGGAGATGAAGATCCATCGGCCAGGCCTATCGGGGGAGCTGGCGGCGCGGACCTGAGACCGACCAAAGGAACCAGCCCAACCACCCAACCACCCCGAGCAACCCAAAATATAGATGTTTATGGCCACGAAATCAACTTTTTGAGTCAACCAGTCAAGCAATCCTTTAAAAGGATAGTCGCACAACCAACGTGTTCGGACAAGTTTCATTCGTGCTTCTTGGGTGATTCATCCCCGAAACGTCCGTTCTGGTTTCCCTGTCTTGGCAAGCCGCTTGCAACTCTGTTCGGCAGTGTTAGCCTTCAGCTTCCACATGGCCCGAGAACTCTCAAACCCAAGCCTTTTAAAACCCTTTGATTTTGGACTGTCCAAAACATGTAACCTGACCACCTTGGCTCAGGCTGACTGATGGAGCGCCTGCACTGCGAACGTTCTCGTGGAAAAGCTACGCTGTGTTTTTTGACGTGTGAAGCGAGTGGATGAAGTGCCCTCCACTTCGGGACATTCGAACAAAGTGGATACAGATGGCAGATTCCGGCAGTCAGCGGCTGCCGTGCTTCAATGGTAAGATATAAGACAAATCATAACCTTATTTTGAACCATTTAAAAATAGATATGTATCTTCAAAGTGTGCCAGATATGCAGATATGTATTGACTATGCTTCCGTATTTGCAACATATACGCTTAGACACATAAATATGCTTATGCACATAAACATAAACATACATGCGTCCAACCATACATACACACACAAGTGTAGACATACATATAAACATATACAATGCATACACACCATACAAAGATACACGTACAACAAGCAGCTGTAGTGGGCCAGGTTGCGAATGAGTTTCATCCGATCCAGTTGATTTGGAACTGCCACAAAGAAATTGGCATACCATGGCAACATATCGGACATGGGCAGGTTGTTTGGTGGATGGCTTTGTGCAAAAAAGTGCTGCAAATCCTCGGGCGAACACGGGCTCCATGCAATTAATCTCTGATGAAACAGAGATAAACAGAGGACACTGGTTCAAAACAACCCGTGAAAGGCCTTCGACCAGTTCAAAAGGTGTTGTGAATGGACTGGTTCAAGACAGTTTCATTTTGGAAACAACATGGATGTGGCTTTGCAAGAATTCTTGGGGGCAGTGTCACATTCAATGTACCCGCGGTAAGACTGTGACCTTGCCTCATTGTGCGATGGCGTAAGACCAGTGTTCTGGCCCGCGGCATGCCAGCACCTCAGACCCTCGGTAGATCGTTCTGGGACATAAATCTTTTATTCTCAATGTATTTGTTAATGCCTGTTTCGATGTTGCATTTTTGGGTGTTGCATGGACACTATTTCGTGTGGCCACCTATTGAATCTCTTGCGACCAGCCTTAATTTTTGTGAGTTGAGATTGATGTGGGCTTACCTGAAAATAGGGTACCACCCAATTATAGTGGATTATTTTTAGTTCCTTACTAGAAAGCTTTTTTGGGGCTACACACCATTTTCTGTACATGTCAAGATGCCAAGGTCAAGGTCAAGGTCTGAAGAGTTATAGGTATATAACTAGAAGCAAAGTTTCAGATCAAGCTGGGCCAAATGAACACACACGGACTTGACGTAGTTGATGAATGTTTACTATTCTATTTCATGAAACATCTGTCATGTGCAATTACCTCAGGAATCTTTTCTTCTGTGAATTTCAGTCTGACACTGCAGCCACTGCAGCCATGGAGGTGTGCTCTGCCGTTTCAGGCGAGACACTGGCAGTCCTCGATCCAGACGAGTTCGAAGGAAAGTCGGCCAAGTATGTGAAACAGTGCTTGTCAGCCAAAATTGGCATCACCAGATTTCGGCAAAAACTGCTTGCAGATGGCTTTGAGGTCTTTGCCCTGGCTTCTGTCAAAGTTCAGCTGGTGATTTTGGACTTTTGGCCGCCTGATGAAGAGCAAGACGAACAACTCATCTCTGCATCGAGTGAGAACGATGCAGTTGCACTTGAAGAGTTGTTGCAACAACCACGGACTCCCAATGTGACAGATGACACTGGCAAGACTGCGCTGCACCACGCGGCTGCGTATGGACATGCGACACCGTTGCAGCTGCTGCTCGAGGCGCAGACAAACATGCTCCAGACTCAACTGGCAATGGATGGACGCCTTTGGACAGCTCTTGAGGGTCATCTTGACACTGTCCGCCTTCTGGTTGACGGGCCAACAAGGTTCAGGCGATGACGGGTCGTGGGATCACGGGTCGTTCATCTTGCGGTCTTTCGTGGCTACCTCGACGTTGTCTCCTTTCTTGTAGAAGTTGGGGCCAACCCAAATCAGCTCTTGACGGAAACTGGGAAAACTGTAAAAACTGTATTGCATCTTGCAGCTCAAGGAGGGCATGTTGACAGACCACCGCGGGTTGACGCCGTTGCATTGCGCGGCAGAGAAAGGCGATCTTGACATTGTGCGGCATATGGCAGCTCACTGGGGCCGTGACGTTGTCCATTTTCTTGTTGAGTCTGGCACAAATCATTGCGCAACAACACGTGGAAGGACTGCTTTGGATGCGGCATCCGAACGTGGCAACACCTACTTGTCTGAGTTCGAGGCAGAATCACCCCGCAGGAAAGTCCGAAGAGTAAGCAGCCCGGATAGACAAAGTAAGCAGCCCACATCAGGAACGACAGATGAGATTGGTGACTCTGTGATTTCCAGTTTCCAACATGTATTGTTTTGGCAACTTGGACTTCCACTTTGGCAAGCCTTCAACACCTTTGCTTCCAACACCTTTGCTCAATGGCAAAATCAGTGGTGCTACGAAGAAATCCACGCTGCATCTGGCAGCTCGGGGCTGGACGTGGTCCGCTGGTGGCGGTGACAAAGATCGGACAGGAGTGGAGCAATTCCTCGACATGCCTCGACCACACAGGGAATAGTTGCAAAATCGGCCCAATGAATTACCAGTGCTATTATATAGTAGGGGCTCCCCCAAATTGCGATATTATATACTTATACATACTTATACTAGACATATACTACGTATATATATATATATATACACACACATATATATATATATATGTATATATATATATATATTCGTACATATCATTTCAAATTATGGTACTAGCATGCACCAGCGGCATTGACAACACCTGGGGCCCTGGGGGTCGCCCCCGGCCCCCAGCCGTATTCCCTCCTTATCAGGGGGGTTTCAACAACCAGAAGTCTGAGAAGTCTTGGCGAAAATTCTTGGGTCATTACCTTTCTACGGCACTAGATGGGGGCCCATCTTTGTATCAAAAAGCCCTGGGCCCTCATCCAGTTGCAGATGAATCTCCACCATACGTCCAACACTTGGCGGCTGGAACAAAACAACTGAAACCTATTTGTTGGCCTCATATCTTTGGTCAACATTATTCCAGGGTCTCAATTTAAGGTATGTATCCCTGCGTGGGAAATGATTCAGCCACCATTTAAACCCAAAGGTTCTCCGAGTCCCAGAGAATCCAAGGGAACACCTGCAGGAAACCAACAAGAATTGGGGATGTAAAAACTCCAAAACCAGGGTTGTTTCACAATCAGACCATTTTCCCATGGAAATTCCTTTATTCATAGACTCACCGATTGACATAGGATTCGCTGTGTTTTCTTCGTGGTCGACTCGTGAATACCATGAACAACGACGCCAGGTTACTGTGGTCTCTTGTCTACTTCGGTGATGAGTTGGTTTGGAAACCCAGAACATGATGTGTTGAATTCACCTTCGTGGATTTGGGGTTCGCAGGGCCATACTCAATGCCGTGAAAACATCCAATAACATTCAGAAACATCCACCATTAACATCTATAAACCGCATTTTTTATCCACCAAATGATAAGTAGTTGGGTTCACTCATTGTTATGCTACGTCCTTGTTTTCCAGTTGGGTTCTTTTACCAAACTTCCGTGCGAGGGGTTTGGAAGTCCACGACCATCAGTTGCTTTAGAACATGGGGCCACCATTTCTTGCTTGGATGTGCATCCAAGTTAGATCCAGTTGGTAATGAACCCGCAAGAAAAAAAGGTCCCATATAGAAGATAATCCACATCTCATTTGGTTACTTCATATCATACGGTCAGTACCATTTAGTACCAACAAAATCCATTCCTGAGATGCACCAGTCCACTGAGGCTGGTGCAGCAACCGTCGTCTCGCAACTCGCTGATTGTTGAACGGCTGAAACTCAGCGAATTACCCTCCAGCAATCAAACATGGCTGAAACATCATCTATTTATAGACGATTTTCCCATGAAATCCTCCATGTACGTTGCAAGCCGTTGGCCTTCTGGCTCGGACTCGGGTTGTTTCATGGTCGACTTTTGTCGATTTTTGAGCCACATTTTAGCCATGTCTTGGGGAGAATTGTGGTATCTCAATTTTTTTTTGGAGGCCACATGATTTATATGCCCTGTTGGAATCTAACATAGCAACATGGAAAATCATAACTTCTAATAGGCTATACACAGGCCATATTCGGTGGATATGTGAGATTTACCAGGGTATCTGTCTATCATTGACAAAGGTACCAGGCTCTTTGTCACCTTCAGACGTGAACAATCCGAGTAGGGAAAAAGGCGATGAGGTAGATGTTCGGGGGATGACCATCCAAATCATCAAATCATGACGAATTTGCGTGATTCCTACAGACCATGGATACAAAGCCAAAGAACACTCCAAAGATTTAGAATAATGATCCCCATGGCTGTCATTCAGAATATCCACATCCCAAAGTTTCTGTATAGCCATTAATGACCAACGTTAGCCGTGTAGCCATGGAGGTGTATTTCTTCGCCTCGGGTGAGCGGCTGGCAAGTCTTGATGCAGCTGATTTCGAAGGCAAAACAGCCAAAATTGTGAAGCAACTCTTGACCGCTCAGCTTGGTGTCAGCCGATTTCGGCAAAGACTCTTTGTGGCAGATGGCTCCCGGGAGATCCCAGATGATGAGGTGGCGAAAAATGGGGCAAACAATGGGTATAATTCGTTTTTTTTGAAAGGATTTAGGGATATATAAGATTTCGATAGGCAACTTCTTTTTTTTATGTTTGGTGTTGAACCATGTTGAACCATGTTGTTTAAACCCTCATTTTATCATCTTTTGAGATCAATCATTTTGACTCTTACGCAGACCCAGGTGTTTGGTTTGGCGCCGGTGAATGTGCAACTGGTAGTAATGGAGTTGTGGCCCTCGGATGACCACGACCAAGAGCTGATGTCTGCATGTAGTAAGAATGATTTGGCGGCCCTTGAGGCCTTGTTGCGATGTCCAAGAGATCCCAATGTCACAGGTCAACACGACTTGACGCCCCTGCACCATGCGGCGGGTCATGGCCATATTCAGCCCATGCAGCTTTTGCTTGAGGCAGCTGCGAAGATCGATGCGCGCAGCAGCGGAGTTCATGGCATGACGCCTTTGCACCTGGCGGCTGGTGGGGGCCACCTGGAGGCCGTGGGTTTCTTGGTCCAGGCAGGTGCCCTGAAGGATTCCAGCGACGTCACGGATGCCACACCCCTGTGCAGCGCGGCACAGGAGGGGTGCTTGGAGGTGGTGCGGTACCTGCTGCAGCAAGGCGCTGAGAAAGATCAGGCCTTAGATGCTGGCGCCACGCCGCTGTTCATGGCAGCACAGGAGGGACATCTGGAGATTGTCCGGGTGCTGCTGGCAGCAGGGGCTGACCACCAGAAGGCTAGGCGCGATGGGGCAACAGCTGTGAGTATTGCTAGGCAGGAGGGGCACTGGGAGGTAGTAAGGCTTCTGGAGGAAGTGGCCGAACAGACCTGACAGAGCGATTTTTCGGGTCAACTTCAGAGCAGTCAACGTCAAGCTGGTCCATTAGCTGGGAGTCTGGATGGGGTTATATAGAGTTCGCCCTCGTTACAGTTCTATGTGCTCCCATATACAGGAGATCTACAGCGATGAGGATCATGAACCAACAGCACCTGGAAACAGCCTCGAGCCGTTGGAGGGAAAAAGGCTTTCACCGAACCAGGGATGATTGGAAGCGTGAGTGGTCCTGCAAACACCCAGGCGTTGAGATGGGGATGGGTCGAACGAACCCTATCATTTTCATTGATTTTCCATATTCAATGTCCAGTTGCAGACGATTTTATGGTGATTTTTCATTGTCACCAGGGTTTTGGCTCCAAGGTGCAGGTTTCACCTGTTTCACCCTGAAAAACCCGTCTGGCCCTGCTGTTTCGCTGCCGTTCTTACTTGCAACCAGCGTAGTTCAGCCAAAGCGGTGAGTTCACAGTAGTGGGGCTTTGCATATAGAATCGTACCAAATATATAGATATGTGTGTACATATATATATATATATATTATGTATATACACACAAACATGGAAGAACCCATGAAAATCCCACAATCCCACTTCTGAATGAGGTGGAAAGTTCCGCAGTTCTGCTCATAGGATACTTCCACTAAACAAAAAACAGACTTTTTCATCCCACTTTCACCCACTTTTTGCATGGAAGCATCGATCCCAGGTGCCGGGGGACTTCACCCTTTTTCGACTCCTGGGAGGCTTGGAGTCTGGGAGTGGTGTGTTGGTGAAATGCTTGGTGCTTCAGATGTTTTGAAAGAATCACAAGACCTCAACTGCTGTGGGAAAACTCATGGTTTTTAGCAAGCACAGCCGAGAGTCAAGACACTGGAGATTTGGCTCAGCTCTCAGCTCAATTTCGATGCCGCACTTTCCCTGTGCCTATCGTGATTCTTTCCGATCCCGCCATGCTGATGCTTTCGCTGTTGCTGCCCCTGGCTGGAGTGTCAGCCGAGCCGGCTTGCCTCCTCCAGAAGCCGAAGGCACCCACCCAGCTCTCGCTGCTGGCTGAAATGCCAGTGGCTGGCTGGGAGTATGCCGGGAAGGGGGACTGCGCCGCGATTCTCCAAACTTTCAACGAACCGGATCCCACCTCCTGTGCCTCACAGTGCTCCTACTTGATGCTCGCTTTCTCATTCGACTCATTGCGTAGTAGTACCTGTTTTTGCTGTCAAGATCTCGCCCTGTCCACCAGCTATCGAAGTTTTGCGTATGCAAGGGCAATTCGCAAGTGGGATTTCATTGGTACAGGAAAACGCTGTCAATCGCCAGTTGCCAGTTTTTCTGCCAACACGCTCAATGACTGTGCCCTGTCCTGTGAGCCGACAACCAATCCTGGCTGGTTCATATACACCCCCCGCAACATCCCTGGGTGTACATGCTGCAGCGGTCTCAATCCTACTACTGAGCTGATCCCTATACCAAGGTTCTCAACGCCCTGGTCACATTTTGTCTATAGAAGGGAAGTCAAAAGGGTGGATGTGCCAGGCTGGGACTATGCCGGCACCGGTGCGTGCGGGCCCTTCATCTCAACTCATCCCCTCATCTCTAGCCCCCAGGAATGTACCGAGACGTGCGCTTCAGCCACAGTGACTGTCACAGGTTTCGTTTATGACGTGCTCCAGTTTTGTGGTTGTTGCTCTGGTTCTGCTGGCAGCGATGGTACTTTTCTCCAACTGGACGAGAACACCCCTATAGACGTCTTGTGTATGTGCTGGCAGATCCTTTCTGGAAATTATCTGTTTCAGCTATAGGATGTGTAACACCGGTGGCCACCAGTTCCCACCCCACCTTGGCTGGGTGTGCCAAGTCTTGTGAACCACCCGCGTTTTCATGTGAAAATTGCGTTGCATCAATCACGAAAGCGCATTTGTTTTTCAACAAAAATGGGATTTGAACAAGAACAACAGAAAAAACATAACCGCAAACACAAGTACATCACATGGTCCACATACTCTTGTTGCAATTTGCACAGGGTCACAACTTTGACAGGTGGAAAAGTATGGAGTGTCGGTGTTTACGGAGATCCTCACATCACGGCTTTGGATGGATCTCACTATTTGCTCCTCAGCCAGGGCACCTTCTCGCTCTGGCATCTTCATGGTCTCTTAACAGAATTCCAAACACAAGATGGATTCAAAAAAGTACCAGTGGAGTGGGAAATCTTTACGCACTACTCAGGCCACCAGTCCTTTACCAAGGGCTTGTTGTTGATTGACAGGTCGGCAGGAGTTCAGCGGCAAGTCTTGGAAATCACCTCGCAGGACTGCCAGTGGCGAGCCCACTCAGGAGCAGAGTGGACCATGGTGAGCAAACCCGGAATGATCTCCGTTGCAGAGGGTCAAGACTATGTGACCGGCTTCAACATGACCAAGACCAATGGAAGGAAGCACCGTGGTGGTCACGCCAGCCGAAACCAGCTTAACCTCAACCAAGTACATCTCAGCATGAACAGCAAGGATGGCGCCACCGACATCGCTGTTCTTACCGTTAGCTGTAGGCCAAAACGCAATCTGAACCTGAATTTGGTGATGAAGCGAAGGCTGGGAGGGTCACGATTCGTCCTGCTTAAGTGAGCCCCCTGCGTCGTAGATTTTGCGGGGTTTTCGGGTGCAACGAAAAGCAACGTGATGATTCAAGACAGAAGAATTCAGCCAAGGAGTTGCTACCGTCGCTTAAATTAGTGACAAAACCATGACTCCCTGCAAAAACGCAGTGATATTTTTGGGGTTTTGATGGTTTTGATGATCGTTGTGGTTGTTTGGGACTTTGGGATGGCTTGGATTTCGAAGTGCCGGGATGGCCAGGTCTGATCATGGATTCGTTGAAGGCGAGTTGGCAGGAGGAAAGAAGCTTGCTGCATTGGAGACAGACTCAGAGTTCAATGTCAAGGGCAAGTGGCAAGACGTTGGAGGCATGGGGGATCTCCGAAGAGAGTTTATTGCAGTTTTACGATGTTTGGTTTTTGGGAACGAAAAACCATAGGGCTTTGCGGCTCCACGTTCACCACTCCAACGTTGGCTTTCTCAGGTTGGCTTTCTAACGCTTTCTCCGGGCTTGCAATTTTTCCAATATCTATACCAACTGGTTCGCTACATTTTGCTAGGATTGTGGCTTCATTCAGTATTCAGCATGGTCTTTCAAAATGCCTTAGGCATCCTTAGACATTGTATCTTTGACAGCCACCATAGCTTTTATGGTCTTGGCTCATCCACTTTAAGAAATTCCATGGAAACAATGGAACCAACCAGTTTGGGGGTGGGCTTTGGGCACCTGCGGCAACGCCAAGTTGTGGAGAGGTGCTTGGGAGGATATAACATTGGATTAATATGTGTATATATAGACGTGTCTATATATATATATACATACATGATTGTGTATATATATATATATACATACACACATATATATATATAATATACATGTATGTGTATATATATATATACACATGTATATATATATATATATGTGGCAGGGACCTTTGGGGTCTATTTCGTTCGTTGGCCTAGAAAGGCATCTTCTTCAATCTAATGAGCGCTACAGCAAACATTTGTATAATCGCGCGAGACTTTCCGAAGCGCTGGACGTTGATCGGAGACAGTAACTGGGATGGGAGGGTGGGACTGTTAAACACATGTACTGGCTTGCTCGTTGCTGCGCCCTTGCTGCAAAGCTCAGATGAAGGGCTGGGCACGCAGAATCTTTTGAAACTGAACATGTTCATCCACAACCTCCTGCAGCGCTCTGCGTGGATTTAACGTTTTGGTTTCTTCATCCATGGGTATGGGATGGATCTGTTGCAGCCTCCATTTCCACGGTGGTGACTTCAATGGGCGGGAAGGCTGGGCGGGAAAACTGCTTCAAGTTTGCTGAAAAAGTTCCGCCAAAGGCTGGGCACTTTCTAGTTTTTTTCGACGGAACATGTTTAAACACAACCTCCAGCAGCGCTCTGCGTGAGCATGATGTTTTGGTTTCTTCATCCGTGGATATGGGATAGATCTGTTTCAGCCTCCATGTCCATGGTGGCGACTATGGACGGGAAGGCTGGGCGGAAAACTGCTGCACGCTTGCTGAAAAAGCTCTGCCAAAGGTTGGGCAGACAAAATATCGACTTTTTCAACGGAACATGTTTACCCACAACCTACTGCAGCGCTCTGCGTGAGTATGACATTTTCGTTTCTTCATTCATGGATATGGGATGGGTTGTTTCAGCCTCCATGTCCGTGGTGGCAGCAATCATGGATGGGAGGGCTGGGTGGGAAAACGGACGTGCTGGCTTGTGTGCTGTTGGGCGATTGCTGATGGTTGGGCACGCGAAGCTCCTTGTCAACGCTTCGTTGGCAAGCTTTATATCTGCGTTAACCCGACAACGCGGTCCATATTGGAACAAGCCAGGCAACACCAACCACAGGCCCCAATCGTGCCTCCTCGATTGCAGTGAACCCTTGCAAGCCTACCAGGGCACTTGGTGAGACTGTTGCAAAAACTAAACAAGGAAGGTGGCACAGGACTTGCATCGCTTCGGACTTGCAAACACATCTTCAACACACATGTCACATATGCATGAACAGAGGCTTGGACTTTCTTTTCTCCAATCCGATGCACTGCTGCACGCTATCGTCGAAGCCTTTTCGGCTTGACGCCGGAAGATCGCCAATCCGATGCACTGCTGCACGCTATCGTCGAAGCCTTTTCGGCTTGACGCCGGAAGATCGAATCGAGTGCACACGTTTGACGGAGTGGACTGTCCTCTTTCCGCGTCTCTTTATGGGGATTGTTTGCTTCCACTTCTGTACCTTTCTGGCTTCCGCTTGCCGCGCCCGATGCAAAGGTACAGGTGCCTTGGCAGACGAGCAACAGTTTTGCCAGGTGGCATCGGTCCAGACATCAGTGGCCACTGCCCGCGCAAGCAGGACAGCTTCTGAAGTCTGCTGCACCGTAGGAAAACACGAGGCGACATGATGGGCGAGCACCTTGCCAAACTGCATAATTTCAAGCTTCAGCCGCAGTGTGCTCTGGTGCAGTGAACGGATGGACTTAGTCCACGAATTTATCTCGGCATGAAGGGACTCATTAGAGGACGTGCCGCTTGGCAGCAACCCCCGCTCTAGAGGGGTTAGATCGTGCCGCACACGGAGGTTGTTCATCAGCCATTCCAATCTATCTGGTGCTGTGGCTGCCCAAAGAACCTTCCTAATTTCTTTGTTGGAGCCTGTCACTTTACGGCTCACCTCATGTGGGTACGTTGCACAAAGGGCGGCTAATGCCTCAATGAAGGTGATTCGGCAGAACAAAGGCAAATCTGGATGAAGGTTGTCCAGGATGTGTTTGGCCCTGGTTGCGCCCATGCTGCCGTCAGTGATGAGATGTCGTGCCCGCTCTTCATTGCGAGTCAGGCTTGGCGGTGCGGTGCCAGTGAAGAGGGGCCCCCAAGAGCTGGAACGCATGTTCGGGGCTACCTGGTTCATCTTATGTAGCAAACACCGTAGAACTTTCGATCCAGCCGTCTTCTTCCCCCACTGGGCATATTCGTAGACAATGGCCAGATGAACAGGATCCAAGGAGAGGCAGCTCAGGTTTGGGCAGATCTCTTTCAACTCGCGGAAGAGCTTAGGAGAGGGGTTGTCCGTAGCTAAATATCGAACCTGGAACAATGCCTGGTTGGAGAAAAGATTGCGCAGAGATTCCTTGATCTTTGGTGACTCTTCATCGGAACAGGAACCATGCCTAAGACGGCACCGGTACGCCCCCTGATAGTCAGCACCCTTCTCAAAGAATGCTCATCATCAAAGCAAGCCGCATTTCGGGTTTGGGCCGATGCTCTATAGTTTGCTTGTCCCTGCACAGTCATGCAGACTTTGAGTGTAGCATCAATGGACAAGCACAAGAATTCCTGACTGTGTTCCAAAGTTTTGAAGATGGAGCTCTTCAAACTTTGGACTTGATAGGACATGTAGATGTCCTCCACAAGAGGCCACCAATGACGTGTATGGGAAGGGTACAAGTTCCCAAGCATGTTGCCGGCTTCCAAAGCCCGCAAATGTACACGAGGCCAAATGCTCTTGACCTCAGAAAAGAACTATGAACATCATTTCAAGGCATGGTTGACACCGTAAAAAAATATGATCCTGCTCTGACACAAGTTAAAACGATGACATTGCACGTGCATGTTCTGCTGCTGCCAAGGAACACTCGAATGGTGCAAGACAATTTCCCTGTAGACCATTTCGGCAAAGGATTTGTCGTAATAGATGTTCAACACTCTGCGGGCAACGATTTGTTCTCCAAGGGCCTTTTGGTTGACATATCTTGGACCGTCTTTCTCTAGCAGCAGGCGTAGGTTCTTGTCAATAAAACTCTTGTTGCGGTCGAGAGGAGGAACCACTTGAGTTCTAAGGAGCATGGCACTGCGAAACAAGTAGTCTGCACCGTTCTCTTTGCGGACAGAATCTGAATCGTGCAAGGCCAAAATCACTTTTAACTGCTTCTTTCCTGAGCACACAAACTGCTTGGCGGCGACATGATGGCGCCTCAGGTGATCAGAGAGCTGGCACAATCGACCAAAAGCTCGGAAAGGGCAGTAAGGGCAACAGTATGCACCGTGCATCTTCCGAATGTTGTTGTGCTCAATTTCTGCAATGAAAGCATGAACTTCCTCCTCCAAGGAATCTTTGATGATGTCTTGGAAAGTGATTTGGCCCTCGTCGTCGATCACGAAGCGGGGCTCTGCTGGCTCTCCGCCCTCGTCATCGTCGTCAGAACTTGCACCGCCTTGCTTATCATCTGAGCTGCCGCCTTGAACATCATGACCCTGTTTGAATTCCCGAAGCTTCTGTCTGCACAGCATCACCTGCGACTCCCAAGTCCTCTTGCTTATCCCCCCATCGCATGGGTTGGGAATCTCACCCAAGAAGTCTGAGGCATGCAATGTATCACAATGATTCCTGAGCATAGATATGTACACCCTCAATCTTTTTTCTACGCGGGTGACCAGCGCAGAATCTTTCAAAGGTTCTGCGGCACTAGCACAGGACTCCTTTACCAGCAGATCTCTTGCTTTGGACAATTCTGTGATCCATTCGGCTTGCGACAAGGTGGAGAAAGTTGAAGGGATCTCTGCCCATAGACCTGGCTGACTTGCCAGGAATATAATCACAGCACAAACCTTCGAACAATGAGATGCGCTTCTCTACGAACTCTGGGAACAACATGAAAGCAGGAATGGCCGAGGACACTGACGACCTTGGGCTGGAGAATTCGCTGTCAATGAAATGGGGCTGATGGAACAGGGTGCTGTCGTCGCTTAAGGATGCCGTGGGCGACGACGCGGCCTGGAGCTCCAACAGGCAAGAAAACGCTGTAGGACCATCTCCATCTTTGGGGGAGACTGCAAAGGAAACGATGGTGGAAAAGTCTGTCGACCCCTCAGCAAGCTCTAAAAGGCTGGATGCTTCTAGTCGGTACTCCTTGGACCCATCCTTGATCACCGACATCATAACATCTCCTGCCTCCTGGACCTCTAGAGAAACGCAATGGGGAGAACCTTTGTTTTCACTGTGCAATAGATATTTGCCCGGCGAGTTGCAGACAACGCCCAAACTTGGTTTCAAATCAAGCGTTTGCAAGACTTCCACGCATTGTTGATATGTGCGGCATTTTCTGTCAATGGAATATAAATTTTGCTGGGTGTCAGTTTGCAAGAACGCTTGGAGGTAGCTTTCCTTGTCCTGGCTGGCCGCCAAATGCCACAATGCACAGGGGATGCAATTAGGAACCTTCAGCAATTCAGGAGGAACGTCATCGAGAGCCGTCGAGTCTAGACCGGCGATAGCTTCCATAAAATATTTGTGGATTTTTTGCCGGATTCTGACACTGAATCCGGTTCTTTCTTTGATCTTGTCTTGACTATCTGAAATCAAAGCATCAATGTTTTCAAGGACGTCTGCGTTGACCCGCACACCGTCGAAATGCAGCGACAGGTGCGTTGGCCGCTTCAAAAGCAAGAAGTCAGACCAGGCTTCCAGCACAGCATCTTCCACGCCCGACCACATGTAGAAGAATGCTGTCGCTCCTGGATACGGCTTGTCGCTTCTTTTCTCCAATTCTTCGTAATCTTCGGCCAAAACAGAGCATGCCAGCCAACGAAGATAAATGGACGCCCTCTGAATGTTCCTCGCAAACGGAATATCCTTGAATGACTTGTCCGGCGTCCCTCCGGAAAGCCAAGCTGTAACCAACTTCTTGCCGTGGCTATCTGATACCTGTAGCTCCTCCCGGCATACAAGCCGACGATTGTCCGTCCAGCGACGAAGAGCTTTCAATGCCTCCTCCGGCATAGGTGGGTTGGGTTTCAACTTTTCAAGCAATTGCAGGACAAGCGTAGCGCAACAGTTCTCAATGTCCAAATCAATTGTATGATCAAAGAGTTGGGTTTGAATCCGCCTCGCGCATTTCTGGGCAGAAGTTTGGGTTGCATACCGCCGTCCGCGAAGTTTCCGATCACCGCTGTATTTGTAGCGGACAGAAGTTTCTACGAGGCCGGTGGCAGGAGCCACTTGCGCCGGGGGCTGCTTGGCCCTGGATCTGCGCAGTGGGGTTTGCGCTGGCTGCGATGCTGCTTCTGGGCAAGCGATCTCTACAAGGTTTTGGCAAACTTTCTCATAGGTTTCCAGCTTGCATAGTTGGTCTTGTAACGTCTGTTTTTTTGCATGGTCGTCGGCAGCTGGCCGGCCTTTTTTCCGCTTCTCTTCTGTCAGGCATTCGGTAAAAAACTGCTTCAAAATATAGACATTGTTGTTTCGACAAGGGTTCTCCTCCAAATACTTGCGGATCTGGCCCGTGTTCATAGACTCTGGAAACACGCGCTCCTCATCTGCCCGCTGACTGAATATTACATCTTCGAAGCCTACTTCGCAAGAGATGACCGGTTGGAGAACGTCCTTGGCTTTGCCTTTTCTGCATCCTTTCTGCATCATTTTCCTTGTCTTCAACTCTTTGAAAGCTGTTTGGTGCGATGCGTTGGGCTTGTTGCTCGACTGTGCGTAAACCTTTTTGAACTCCCACAGTGTGATGTCACTGCAGGACTCAGCCAGCAAATTTGTCACAACAAAATCACGCAGCGCAGTGTACTGCAATTCTTCCTGGTCCCGTTCCTCTTGTGAATCTGACACATGTAAGAGACCCACGCCTCCCATTGCAGTTTCTTCGTGGCGAACTCGGAGCTCCAACCCACAAGCCTTCCGCATCTTGTCTTCAGTAAGAAATCCATCGCCGCCGGTGGCATAATCATCAATCAGGTGCATGCATTCATTCTGGCTGTGCTGCATTTCGAAGGCGTGCTGCGTGCGCAAACCAGCAGCACAAGCGCCCGGACTCACCAAAAATTGCTTCAAAGTTGGATCGGCCAGGAAATGCCCGTCTTCCTCATGATCTGCATGAGCTTGTTTCAACACAGACTCTGGGTGGAACCTAGCCTTTGGTTTCCACACAAGAGCGCGGCGCATGACTGACTGGAAGTTGGATTTGGTGATTCCTGCAAAAACCATCATACGGTTTACTTCCAGGCGTTTCCAACCCACAACGCTGAACATTCGCGTTGTGTATCCGTATGGCTTCCGCCCCGCTATCCCATCCCCTGACATAGTCTTCTTGAACAAATCCAAATGCAACCTCTTGTGTGATTCTGGCGCTTCTTGGCCAGTGACGACGATGCAGCGAGCGAAGGATTCGACCTGCTTTCGGAGCTCATCTTCGTTGTACCAAACGTTTGGATCGAAGTATCCATGATTGGAGCCGAGCATTGCATCAATATGCAAAGAGAGCAAGGACTGCCCAACCCCCCCAGGGGATTCACCAATGAAGCACCTGTCCACATTGAAGCCACGCTTCGCTAAGGCCATGGCAGCCATATTGCATTGGAACACGTCATTGTTCGCCCAAAATGTTTGCTGGTAAAACTTTTCGAGGCGCTTTTGGTGCTGTTGCAACACTGGATCAAGCAGTGGGTGCGGAATGAAAATGTAGCAATCATTTCCTGCTGCTTTAGGGATGTGTCTCAAAATTACTTCCCTGCTTACATCATATTGCACACATGTGTCATGGTACGACACGCATGGCTTCTGTGACCGGGGTGTTTCGCACCATTCGACCAATAAGGAAATAAGCTTTTCATGCATGAGCTCACTTCGGATGGATTGGCATATTTTCCAAATTCGTTTGCCCAATGCGATCGGCCAATCTTCTGCAGGCTTGTTTCCTCGTGGAACATCCGCTTCTACTATTTCATCAGCATCTTCGCCAAACTGATCGCGGTCTGGTGCCATGGTTTGCTGCCATATCGCGGCCTCTTGGCACGCCTCTAAGAATTTCTCTTCGTCTGCGAAATGGGCACGGTCCGCTGCAATAGAAGCCAAAATGTCCGCATCGTTGCGCCGGGTTGCAGGGTCCATTCGCCTGAAAATACCTTCCAGCTGAGAGAAGAACAGCGCTAATCGCGCAAGTACGGCTTGAGGCGGGATCCCGGAGTAAGGCATAAAGGCGCCATTGTCATTGTAGATATAGCGGAAGCCTTCATGAATCCGAATGAACCTGTCACCTTCCACAAGCCACAGGAAGAAGGCATTGTCGCCCATGAAGAGACGATCGGACAATCTGGCGCGGTATGCTGCAAGAGCAGCGGCGCCAATGCGCACCAAGCGCTCAGACCAGGCAGGGTATTTGTCGGTCACTATCCGCCGGAGTTCACAAACACGAGCCAGAATTGTATCGTTGGCACCTGCTGTGTCCTTGTCCTCATGAACTAAGGCCTCGTTCCATTCATGATACTGGCGAAACATATCCTCAAACTCACTCCGAGTTGTCTGTGCCCCTTTCATGAGCCGTCTCTTCTTCACGGAAGCCAGCAAAGGATCATCCTCAACATCACACAGATCTGGGTCTTCAGGGCCTTCTTCTTTCACTTGCGTCTCTACCACTTCTGGCTGAGTCTCACACGGTTGTTCGCTCAAGGCTCTGCCTTGCGAAGGCTGAGAACTATCTAACGCACCGCCACAAACATCTTTCGCTTTTTGCTGCCAAATCTTCATGATCGCCTCAATCTCGGCCTCCATACGCGGCACTTCATCAATGAAAGGGTCCAGTTGCCTGTCTGGATGAGTGCCAACAATGAACATTTTTGAAACCTTGTACCCGTAGTACTTCTCAATGATGTGCCTGTAAGCGTTCAACTGAAGTCTGTAATGTGACCCAGCGCAATCGGGAATGCGGCCCAAGGGCGGCAACATCGCACAAGGCGACCAAAATTTTTCTGCCAAATTCGCAGACCTTTTCCAATCAATCAGCGCCAGTGAGCCTTCATTGTCTACGGCACAGAAATCTATAGAGCCAGCTAGATTTTCATTTTCGGCGAAAACAACCCATTCAGTCCGGTATGCCCGCCACCCCTGCATTTTGTCGAGGAATTTGATCAGCATTCTGAATTCAGGACTGGTTTGCGGCACTGCATACCCATTGATATGGGCTTCAAACAGATAATGCATATAAGAACCACATGCAGCCGCTTCACTGCCTTTCATCTTCCACATTGTCTTGATCTCGTCTGGCCCCAAGGATAAACTATGACTGAGGTCTGGGAACTGCGGCTTCAATGCTTGGACCCGTTCACAAATCCACGGGTCGTTGCGTGGAACATCGAGCAACGCAAGAAGAAGGGAAGGATCAACCGCGCGCACCCTCTGCAACACGGCCTCCGTCATAACGGGACGCAAATAATTTGGTCGGGGCCAACGGTCACTAGCCATCATGCCGCGGATAACTGCATCCGCATCAAAAGGACGCGAAAAGGCGTGAATCATCCCCGTGACTGATCCTTGCGTCTTCGATCCATCAACAAAGTACTCGTGGTTTTCCTGCTCAAAACGGACATGAACGTCGCGACCGTGCGGGTGGAGCCAAGCCAAGGTCGTGAGGTCTTGACAAGCCACGAAATGCTCATAGTTGAATGGCACCAACCCGTCTGCGCCATCACCACGGATTGGCAACTCCATCCCAGTCTGTGTCCACGTGATAAGCTTCTGAATTTTCCGCTTCCGGGCTACTTGTCTATTGGCTTGGATCGCGGAGGGCAAATCTCGAAGTGTGCTTCCGCCACAAACATCCCCTGTGAAACACTGCCGCAAGCCGCGGCATAGCGGCGCTAACTCGCTGCGCACTCTGTATGTGGAAAGCATTCGGGCATTTAAAAGGAAAAGGGTTACCCATGACTCTGACAGCCTCTCCCAACAACCATCCATGAGAGAAGCCCTTGTGTCTGAATCGAAGCAACATAAAAGAGGCGTCTGGTCTCTCGCATCAGGAACCAAGGGATCGGCGCCCGCCAAGAGCAACTGTTTCACAAGCAGAACATTTCCGCCCATGGCCGCCAAGTGTAACGGCGTTTCTCCGCCAAAGTCTTGCACGTGCACATCAGCTCTAGAATCTGACAACAGCTGCAAAGTTGTTGGAGTATTTTTCAGGGTGGCCAAGTGCAAGGCGCTTCGACTGTCGTTGCCAACAACCCTCGGGTCGGCAAAGGCAGACAGCAGAAGGTGAACGCAATAAAACAAACCAGCTCCAACTGCAGTGAGTAGTACCGCCTCTTGGCGCCCAGTTCGCCGCACAATGCCTGAGCAATTTGGCTCCTGGCCTGCAGACAAGATTGCAATAATTGTATCATGCTGCTGTTCTTGAACAGCCCAAGACAAATCCAGCCTATACTGATTTGTTCTGGCGTGAAGAACGACATCCAGCACTGGAGGGGGCGGGAACCCAACCACGGCCCAGATCGCTCCCATGGGGACCACCTTGCCTTCCAGGACCAGCGACACAGCAAAGGGAAGATGCCCATGATGGCGAGCAACATGCTGCTTGAGACCAAGAATTGTGCAATCTTCCGTGACACTGAGGCTGCATATATGCTTTCCTGTGCAAGCCAAGACAAACGAAACTGCGCTGCCCCCTTCCACATCCCAACACGGGCGTTCCGATTGAAACGATTTAGACGCGCACCACAAACTGGAAGGACATCCGTATTCTGCCAAGATTGACAGTATGCCCTGCAAGAGGGTAGCAGCATCGACACGATGAAACTGTATTCGAGGCAAAGGGATACAACAGGGCCACAGCAACGCGCTAGTGTGTACGGAGACGAATACCATGCATTTTGCTTCAAGGGATTTGCGCTATGAGCGAGCAGCATGTCAGCAAAGGCCGCGTCTTCGTAAGCAGCTGCATAATGCAAGGGCGTGTTTTTAGCCGCAGTATTGTCTTCTAGATTTGGGTTCGCCCCTTGCCAAAGCAAGAAGGAGGCACAGGATTCTGCGTCGTGAAGCACAGCGAAATGCAAAGGACCTTTTTGTCCAGGAGGGACATAATTTACGTTGGCTTGCGCTCTGACCAACATCCTCACAATTGGGAGGTTGCGCTGCTGGACTGCAGTGCCCAAAGCAGAATTGATGATGGTTGTATCCGGGTCCTGACCCATCTTCAGGATTTCTTTGACAGCACCGACATCATCTTTCTCAATGGCATCGAAGAGGTCGTCTGCCCAATCTAATACTTTGGGCTTTTTCACCATTGTGACTATGTTTGGGCAACCTAAGTCCTGCCAAGTGGCCTCCTCTTCAATCAATTGGTCTGACAAGAGGAAATGAAGGGCGAAGTATGGCAGACCGAAGGCTTCGACGGCACTTGTGCGGGCAAGATGAAGGAAACTTTCGTCATCTTCCAACCAGTCCGGAATTGAACACGACAACACACATTCACCTGTCAAGGCAGACAGCACCCTGACATCGCCCCACAATGACACGCTTCCACCGCACACATCATGGCGCGCCATATACCTTCCTTTTGGCAAGCTCTTAGCCTGTAACGTTCGGAGGAAAAGCTGCATCCGGAAATATCTGTAGAACAATCCGTCAGGCATGCAATTGGGACGCAGACAAGACGTCCTGGTTGCGACTGGCAAACTAAGGACATGCATGAGGAGCCAAGCGCTGGCCAATTTCTTGACCCGATCCCGGTGACTAAGCGCGATGTTGGATGTAGACAACACATCCAAAAGCTCCGGTTTCCGTTGAATTTCAGGCCAATAGAAGGTCAACAGTAAAGCCTCCAGTTGCACCACCTTCATGTCTTTGATGAGGTGAAGAAAGAGAGAACAACATTCCAGCCGAAGCTGCCATGCAAAGGCCGTCTCCTGCGTGTCAAAAGGCACAGGCAGGATCCAAAACGCGTTGGGGAATCTTTCCAAAGTTTTGCTGAGCGGAAAGATGGCTGTGAAAATCTTTCAGTTGCAGCCAAACTCGCGGGTTGTCATACTGCTCGTTCCTCCGGAACAAATATAGATGTCGCAGCATTTTTGTGGCGGTTGTCTCTGGCATGGGTTTTAGGCACAACATCGGCGGTGTCTGGCTATGAACCGTTTTTGTGGCGGTTGTCTCGGGCATTGGTTTCAGGCACAACATCGGCGGTGTCTTGCTATGCACTGAGTCCGGCGGCTGAGAGACAGGTGCTCCCACGGGCGTGCAAAGTATCTGCGCCAGTGAGATTGGACGTGCACCGCCACAGACATCAGCGCTTGGCTTGGCGACATGTGAGGCGAAAGGAATTAGCTTGAAGACCGCTTCAATGGAGGAAGGCCTGAGCGTAGGCGAGTCCAACCCTACATGGGTCTTGTGATTCATCTGCAACCGCCACTCACCGTCCTCAAACACGCGAAAGCCACTAAAATGCTTGCGAGCGTATATAACATACTTCCCAGGTGTGAGCTTGGAAGCATCGCAAGCCCCAAGCGGAAGGAGGGCATACCTGCCAGCCGAAAGGATGAGTGAGATATGAAGAACGGTTTTTAACTAAAGCTACGCTGTATATCAACAGGGAAGCAGTGCGACATATTTTTTTTTGCTAAGGCGCCCAAATGGGGCCAGCATCTCATCTCCATCTTTCAATGCCCAAAATGGCCCCGCTTTGGTGTACGGGACCTTGATACCCACAGACCGAAGCGAATCGACAAGGCAATTGTCTGCAAAATGCATAGGTCTGGCGCTTTTGGCTCCTGCTGCGAGGAGAAATCGAACAGTGGCAGTTTTTTCAATCACAAGAATGCTGTGAACAACCATCAGCGCCCGGAAACTTCGATTACACAAAAGCCCTGACTATAGGCACCTGGGCTGAAACTTGTCTTGGACTTGGGCTTGTCTTCGGGACCTAAAGCGGCTGCGAACACACGCCCAACATGTCATACTGTCATTACTGAATTTCATTCAACACAGACATTCCGGCCGAGGGGCAGCGAGCAGGCCGCGATGAAATTTCATGAGCAGCTATCGCCATGTACTCATCTAACACCTTGTCCAAATTGTAGTCTTTGCGCCGGCGACAACGTTCGGCCCCAAGGATTGCATTGATGTGGACGTTGCACCAATACAGGTCTTCGAACCGCCGACGTTTTTGACGCTTTGAAAGGCAAGGCCTTGGCTGAAAAAGGCGGGGGCTACACAGCGTTGTCACCGACTGAATTTCAGCCTGTTAACTATTAACCATTCATCTGGGCAATACCATGTATATGGACCGCTTCGCTTCAAGGCACGCTTTGTAATTGGCCAGTGCCTTGCCCTTGTCTGACCTCAGGCATGGGCTTCGCAACAAAACACGTAAGAAATCATTTGTCCGGCGTCGAAATCAAAGCTCTCCAAATCAGCCCAGTCACTGGAGCCGCGCAAGCAATCGCCTAGTAAAACGGAAACAAAATACGCATAAATTTCTTTTATTGTCCTTCGCAAAATCAAACACTTCCTCTGCTGCTGGGAGGCTCTTGGTCATCCTGCGGGCTGGAGAACCTCCAGAACTGCAGAAAGGTTGAAGTTGAAGGGTGCAAAATTCAGCACCATGCCACGCAACCGCATAGACATAAGCCGAAGCGCACAGCCAGGCGGTCATCATCTCGTTCACCTGCCGCGTTTCCATCGGGCTCGGAAAGCATCCTGCGGTAAGCGCGTGTGATTGTTTCGGGCGCATCTGTCTTTTTGGTCAGACGTGCAGCCAAGGCTCTCCAACTCATCTCTTCGCACCCCTCGGTGAGGCCTTGGTCGTGAAGGAACAGCGAACGTTTAACCACAGAGATTGTCACACGGTTCTCTATTTTCTCCTGTCAAGCTACGGCCCGCGAAACTTTCGATAGAACTGCGGGCGTCCAACTCGTTGCGGGAAAGTGGTGGAAGCAGCAGGCATTCCCAAGGTGGAGCGGCGCCTGGTCAAAATGTTCCACACCAAATCATCACCTTGGCGCGCGACAAAACTAAAACCCACATCCGCCTCTTGCGAGCAATGCTTGTCAAGAAGGAGTCCAAACCCTGCAAACATCACGTTAAAGGGTGCAGCCGGGACACCCCACAGGGCCTCTACCCACAACCCTGCGCCTTCTTCAGATGGCCGTGCAGCCTCCAGCCGCTTGCCAAATCGAACAGGCGCCCCTGACAGAGCATGGGAGAGCAGAATTCTTTGCGCTGCGACCAATTGCAGCGAAGGCACATCGGTCGATGGTTGCGGAGCCACAAGCAGTTTGATGCAAAGAGAGAAGAGCTCGACCAAATAGAACCGAACAGGCCCGGGAGGAGGCTGCCCTGATGGGATCGAAGGCAGCGCTTACACCTGCAAAGAAATTGCATAGGATGTTTAAAGTTCCAAGCGCGCGCAAAGACACATATAGTCAAGAGCTTCATTGAACCCACGCAGTGCTGCTAAGAACAATCGCAGATGAAGCCAAGGCACCTCGTGACTGGTTCAAATCAAGCGACATCATGGCTGAAAGAGCAATTTGCGATGGTTCACGGCGGTTTGCGATTGAGCAAAAACGGGCTTCCCGGAAGAAAAGGATAACAAAAGCTATTGTCACAGCACGCGGTCCCTGCAACGTTGCTGGCATGAAGACGGCGCCAGAATGATGTAAGATCTGTCACACCTGGCCTCCAAAACCAGTTGCGCCTGCAGCAACTTCTCGAACCAGCCTGCAAAATCAATATACAGAGTTCAGAAAGTAGGAATGCGATGTGCCCAGCACCTGGCCACACTGCCAGCGTCTCAAGCGTCAAAGCGGCACTGATGCGATCAAAGGTTGCAGATCCTAGGCGCTGAGATACACATCCCACACGCTTGAAAGAAAACACGAAACTGGAACTGCAGGGCCGCATCCATAGTTTTCATTCAACAAGTCAAGCGTAGGGCAATGGAAGTATAAGTTTGAACATGTTTGAACTGTCTATCTGCATCGCTTAATGGTGGAAAAGCAGGATGCTGCGCGGCGCGACAAGAGCTTGCCATAATGCATGTTTTGTACAGTTACAGTCGCAGCGCGCTCTGGTGGATCAGGCACATGGTTCCCTCCAGCCACAAAGCCAGACAGGGATACTCCCCTACCAGCTCCGCTACCGACATGCAACAGCAGCAACACCAGCCCCACATCCGATATATTTCGGTGACCGATAAGGCTCCCTTTTCGCAATTTTTTAGGGTGGGTGGGTTCTAGCTTGTAGCCAAAACGACAACTGCCCTCACAGAGCTGTTATACCTCTCTTGTTTGTCGGCCTTTTGGTTTCTCATAGACCATCTCCAGCAGACAGTTCGGCCGTGTTGCCCAAAGCAAGCAAAGGCACCATCAAGCATGTGATTCCCTCCTGCGAAACCAGCTAGGAATACTCCGCTACCAGCTCCCCTACCAGCTCCGCTACCGACATGCAACAGCAGCAACACCAGCCCCACATCCGATATATTTCGGTGACAGATAAGGCTCCCTTTTCGCAACTTTTTAGGCTGGGCTGATTCCAGCTTGTAGCCAAAAAGACAACTGCCCTAACAGAGCTGTTATACCTCTCTTGTTTGTTGGCCTTTTGGTTTCTCATAGACCATCTCCAGCAGACAGTTCGGCCGTGTTGCCCAAAGCAAACAAAGGCACCATCAAGCATGTGATTCCCTCCCGCGAAACCAGCTAGGAATACTCCGCTACCAGCTCCCCTACCAGCTCCGCTACCGACATGCAACAGCAGCAACACCAGCCCCGCATCCGATATAATTCGGTGACAGATAAGGCTCCCTTTTCGCAACTTTTTAGGGTGAGTAGGTTCTAGCTTGTAGCCAAAACGACAACTGCCCTAACAGAGCTGTTATACCTCTCTTGTTTGTCGGTCTATTAGCTTCTCACGCAGCATCCGTCAGTCTAGATTGTACAATGAAACATGAATGGTCCCTGCCAAATCAATAATATGTCATATGTACTATGCCATCATATTTCAAAGGTTTTCTGTTTTAGAAAAAGAACTATATATTATAATATGTTAATGGGAAAAATGCAAGCCAAGAACAAGAATGTACAAAAAGGTACAACCAGAAGCTTAAAAAACAAGCTTAAAAATGTTAAAAGGTAAGTCCAGCAAAGCAAATACAAAGGCAAAAGCCAAGAAGCAGGCGCAAAAACGAAGACACAGACGCAAAGGCCCAGAAGCAAGCGCAAAAGCCAAGAGAAAGGCGCAAAGGCCAAGAGACAGGCGCAAAGGCCAAGAAGCAGGCGCAAAAACGAAGAAACAGATGCGAAAGCCAAGAGGCAGGCGCAAAGGCCAAGAGACAGGCGCAAAGGCCAAGAGACAGGCGCAAAGGTCAAGAGACAGGCGCAAAGGCCAAGAGACAGGCGCAAAGGCCAAGAGACAGGCGCAAAGGCCAAGAGACAGGCGCAAAGGCCAAGAGACAGGCGCAAAGGCCAAGAGACAGGCGCAAAGGCCAAGAGACAGGCGCAAAGGCCAAGAGACAGGTGCAAAGGCCAAGAGACAGGCGCAAAGGCCAAGAGACAGGCGCAAAGGCCAAGAAGCAGGCGCAAAACCAAGAAACAGCCGCGAAATGTAAGAAGCAGGCGCAAAGGCCAAGAGAAAGGCGCAAAGGCCAAGAGAAAGGCGCAAAGGCCACGAGACAGGCTTAAAGGCCAAGAGACAGGCGCAAAGGCCAAGAGACAGGCGCAAAGGCCAAGAGACAGGCGCAAAGGCCAAGAGACAGGCGCAAAGGCCACGAGACAGGCGCAAAGGCCACGAGACAGGCGCAAAGGCCAAGAGACAGGCGCAAAGGCCAAGAGACAGGCGCAAAGGCCAAGAGACAGGCGCAAAGGCCAAGAGACAGGCGCAAAGGCCAAGAGACAGGCGCAAAGGCCAAGAGACAGGCGCAAAGGCCAAGAGACAGGCGCAAAGGCCAAGAGACAGGCGCAAAGGCCAAGAGACAGGCGCAAAGGCCAAGAGACAGGCGCAAAGGCCAAGAGACAGGCGCAAAGGCCAAGAAGCAGGCGCAAAACCAAGAAACAGCCGCGAAATGTAATCCTTTTTAATCCGTTTAATCCTTTTAATCCCCCAGAGATCTGGAGTCTAAGGCCCAAGCATTGGATTAAATGATTTAATCCTTTTAATCCTTTTAATCCCCCAAAGGCTCTGGAGGATTAAAAGGATTAAATGCTTGGTCCTACATTGGGGTTCTGGGGGCTCTGGAGGATTAAAAGGACTAAAAGGATTAAAAGGATTAAAAGGATTAAATGATTTAATCCTTTTAATCCTTTTAATCCCCCAAAGGCTCTGGAGGATTAAAAGGATTGAAAGGATTAAAAGGATTAAATGCTTGGTCCTCACATTGGGGTTCTGGGGGCTCTGGAGGATTAAAAGGATTAAAAGGATTAAATGATTTAATCCTTTTAATCCATTTAATACCCCAAAGGCTCTGGAGGATTAAAAGGATTAAATCATTTAATCCTTTTAATCCTCCAAAGCCTCTGGAGGACTAAAAGGATTAAAAGGATTAAATGCTTGGTCCTCACATTGGGGTTCTGGGGGCTCTGGAGGATTAAAAGGATTAAAAGGATTCAAAGGATTAAATGATTTAATCCTTTTAATCCTTTTAATCCTCCAGAGCCTTTGGGGGATTAAATGGATTAAAAGGATTAAATGATTTAATCCTTTTAATCCTTTTAATCCCCCAAAGGCTCTGGAGGATTAAAAGGATTAAAAGGATTAAATCATTTAATCCTTTTAATCCGTTTAATCCCCCAAAGGCTCTGGAGGATTAAAAGGATTAAAAGGATTAAATCATTTAATCCTTTTAATCCTTTTAGTTCTTTTAATCCCCCAGAGATCTGGAGTCTAAGGCCCAAGCATTGGATTAAATGATTTAATCCTTTTAATCCTTTTAATCCCCCAAAGGCTCTGGAGGATTAAAAGGATTAAAAGGATTAAATGCTTGGTCCTCACATTGGGGTTCTGGGGGCTCTGGAGGATTAAAAGGATTAAAAGGATTAAAAGGATTAAAAGGATTAAATGATTTAATCCGTTTAATCCATTTAATCCCCCAAAGGCTCTGGAGGATTAAAAGGATTAAAAGGATTAAATGCTTGGTCCTCACATTGGGGTTCTGGGGGCTCTGGAGGATTAAAAGGATTAAAAGGATTAAATGCTTGGTCCTCACATTGGGGTTCTGGGGGCTCTGGAGGATTAAAAGGATTAAAAGGATTAAATCATTTAATCCTTTTAATCCTTTTAATCCCCCAAAAGCTCTGGAGGATTAAAAGGATTAAAAGGATTAAATCATTTAATCCTTTTAATCCATTTAATCCCCCAAAGGGGCTGGAGGATTAAAAGGATTAAAAGAATTAAATCATTTAATCCTTTTAATCCGTTTAATCCCCCAAAAGCTCTGGAGGATTAAAAGGATTAAAAAGATTAAATCATTTAATCCTTTTAATCCTTTTAATCCCCCAGAGCTGGAGAACCCAATGTTGGACAAAGCATTTAATCCTTTTAATCCTTTTAATCCTCCGGACATTGGCTTTGGAGGATTAAAAGGGATTAAAAGGATTAAAAGGATTAAATGATTTAATCCTTTTAATCCTTTTAATCCCCCAAAGGCTCTGGAGGATTAAAAGGATTAAAAGGATTAAATCATTTAATCCTTTTAATCCGTTTAATCCCCCAAAGGCTCTGGAGGATTAAAAGGATTAAAAGGATTAAATCATTTAATTCTTTAAATCCTCTCAATTTATCAAAAAGCTTTCAAAATTATCAGAATTAACCGGAACAAAATGGTACCTAAAGGTCTCTCGATCATATATATATATATATACATACACAAATTAATTATGTAAATAATGATGTTTAATGGAGGCAGTGACCAAGCAGCTGCCTATTTGCGACAGATGGATGAAGATTCTTCTTCGCGCGTGTCTTTGTTGCAAAGCTGCACCGCGGAAGACAAAGTTCAGGCCAAAATCACTTGCTCCAAGTACTTGGATTCTTTGGGACACTTGGACCCTGCGGGCTTCTTCCTCAACGACTGCATCTACGACATTTGTCATGGAGCAGGAGAGGTTGCAGCGGAGCTTGCAGCAGAGCTACTAACATCCGCCAGCGTTTGAAGCTCCCGACAGGCCTCAGTGATGTACAGGTGGTGGAAACCGTGGAAACCGCTCAAAAGTAGCAGGTCGACCCGAAGAAAAGGCGTGAAATGGAGAAGCTGATTTTGCTGATGTCGGTTGCCAAATGCTCTTTGGAAATCCAATCCGGCTGTATTTGGGAAGTTGGCGGATCATGCCAATTGGGGTTTCCATCGTTTCGTTGCATGCAACACTTCGCCTTGCTGACAGGCGCCAACCGGACGAGTGCACCGCCCCAGCCATGTCACGGATCGTTGTTCAATGCATTTTCGAAGAACCACAAGGCCAAGATTTTACGATCCGTGAAAATGCATTGAGAATGCATTGAAAATGCATTGTTTTTTTTCCCTGTGACATTTGCCAGAGATTTTACGATGAACTTCTTGTTGTGTTTCGATTTCGAAAATCTCTGGTACCACGTGGAAAACTTAGGTCAGAATTCCTGGCAACATCAATTCCAGGCCCAGAGAAGACCATGGCACAACTCAGCGAGGTTTTCTTAGAAGGGGAGACCCCCCAATGACAAGAATATATAATATAGTGTATCATAGTGTATCATAGTTTATCCAAATCAGTATACTATATGATATATTCAAGTATACTATAGTGTATCATAGTGTATACTATATAGTTTAATTATCCACATGTTTATCCAAATCAGTTGCTCAAATAAAAAATGTATGACAGCCATGTGGCTTTGGAGGATGCCCCATCCAAAAAACCATCCGCCCCATCCAACTGCAGCGACATCCCCACAATTCATATGGCCTGAAATATGGTACAGTAATGGTACTAACGTACCTGCATTTCAGGATCCTGAAATTCCCATTGTCTGAGTTTTGTCATCATTAACCATCATTAACCATTATTAACCAGGATTAACCATTATTAACCATTATTAACCATCATTACCCATCATTAACCATTATTAACCATTATTAACCATCATTAACCATCATTAACCATCATTAACCATCATTAACCATCATTAACCATCATAAACCAATGATAACTCCGAATTTCGTTGCTTAGATCCAGATTCGGAAATGGAACGGTTATAACGGTCGCCCCACCTTTAAAGGGTGCGCCTGCAGGTTTGGATGCCGCAGCGGTATCCTATCGGGGAAAAGATGCTGCCTGTGCAGTTGGGGCTACATGCAGAGCTGAGATACAGACAACAGAACAAGTATCATTGGATTGAACTTTCCTTCTGAACCATATTCTGAAACCTAGTGATAACTTAAGCACCATTTAGGAATTTGTTACTAGGTGGTAGCCATTTAAAGCATGGGACACGCCCTTCTGGGGAACATATCAAGCGGGAAAGCGGGAAGAAACTTCCAAGTATCGAGGGATGGATATCTTTTGGTTTGAGAAGGAGGATAAGAATCACCGCACACATTTACAATGATCTTGTAGAATGTGTTCAAATGAAGCTTTGGAAGTCAACCAAATATAGAAGGATCAGGATTGACCACCTTTGGACATGACGATTTCGCTGATCGATATCCAAAGCCAGGTCATGTTCTTGTGCCATGTCCATCCGCGAATTGCTTCCAGTCCAGGGTTTGTCTAAATGGTACCTTCGTTCCAAAGGATTGCGGCTATTTCTCCATGATTGCTGCTGGAATTTGGGGTATCTATAGGGTATCTATAGGATATCTGTGCCATATGTGGCGCAACCTCTGAGCGCGGCGCGAAAGTCGGTGGTTCACAGCTGTTTTTTTCACGGTCTCAAGAGCCGAGCGTGCGCTCCGGAGATCGGTGCGTTCACTTCCCCCCGTTGGGGGGGCGCCCGGTTGCCGCGGCCCTTCTAGTTGGGTCCCGGGTGCCTTTGGAAGCAGATCTGCCCCGTGAGTATGGACATGATATGGGAAGAGCATAGGACTGAAAAAAAAGGTGCCCCCAAAGGATAGCTAAGTTGGTACTGAAAGAAGTGGGTCAAGCGTTGGGTTCGCAGACTGACGTGCATTTATTGTTTATTTTGGCATGTCAACGCAAACTTGCAACTGGGGCACCCCTTTGTAGAATGACTCTTTGCGTTTGGTTGCTTCAAATAGGGGGTTCTTTGCTAGTAGAGGAGTGACGCATCATGACGCATCATGACGCATCATGACGCATCATGACGCATCATGACGCATCATGACGCATCATGACGCATCATGAAACATGTGTGTTGTGGTTGACCCACCTGTTGAATCAACCGGGGTTCATTAATTCAGGGACGATGTTACTGTGACCTGGCTGGACGCTTTTGTGGAAACAGTGGACCCCAGGTTCGAGTCCGAATTCGCGGGCCACGGCGGGCTCTGCCGTTTTGAAGTTCTTTCGCAATGGATAATACATGATAATCCCTTCCCCTCATATTGAGCACCTGGAAACCCATGGCTTGCGGATTTTTCCAGATTTTTTGGAACCACAAATAAAGCGCTCCGCCAGCAGATATCTATGGGGTTCAAAGTGCAGTAAGATCTGTGAAAAGATGTGAAGCAAGTCTGTGGGTATCCATGGACATCATATAGAGAAAATATGTCCACATCCAAGTCATCCAAGTTATCCAAGTCATCTAAGTCGTCCAAGATTTGAATTTCTGGGGCTCAGGTGCGTCACAGATCTTGTTTCACAACTCACAAAAAGAGACGCCGCCCGGGGGCCCGCAGTTGCGTGGGAGTCTTGGACCCAATTCCCGAGAGCGCCTGCGAAGGGTTCTTCGTAAAAAAGCAGCCGTTATACTACATCTTCACACCTTCACATCTGCTGATCTAGATCTTCACACCTTCACACCTGCAGATCTAGATCTTCACACCTTCACACCTGCAGATCTAGATCTTCACACTCTCACATCTGCCGATCTACATCTTCACACCTTCACATCTGCTGATCTACATCTTCACACCTTCACACCTGCAGATCTAGATCTTCGCACCCTCACATCTGCAGATCTAGACCTGCAGATCTAGATCTTCACACCCTCACATCTGCAGATCTAGATCTTCACACCCTCACACCTGCAGATCTAGATCTTCACACCCTCACATCTGCAGATCTAGATCTTCACACCCTCACACCTGCAGATCTAGATCTTCACATCCTCACACCTGCAGATCTAGATCTTCACATCCTCACACCTGCAGATCTAGATCTTCACACCCTCACATCTGCAGATCTACATCATCACACCCTCACACCTTGCAGATCTAGATCTTCACACCTTCACATCTGCAGATCTACATCATCACACCCTCACACCTGCAGATCTAGATCTTCACACCCTCACACCTGCAGATCTAGATCTTCACACCTTCACATCTGCAGATCTCCTCTCGCTCTTCTTCGATTCTCTCTTAAGGCGGGGGCGGTGCCGCCGGAGCGCCACGAAACGCAACCTTTTTGCACGAAATGGACGTTGGACGTCCAAAACCTAGGTAAAATTGCGATTTTGAAGCGTCCCCGGCAACCCTTTCGCACGAAATGGACGTTGGACGTCAAAAACTGAACAAAAGTTGCAACTTTTATTGGTCGCGCGCAACCCTTTCGCACGAAATGGACGTTGGACGTCAAAAACTGAGGAAAAGTTGCAACTTTGAGGTGTCCCGCGCAACCCTTACGCACGAAATGGACGTTGGACGTCAAAAACTGAGGAAAAGTTGCAACTTTGAGGTGTCCCGCGCAACCCTTACGCACGAAATGGACGTTGGACGTTAAAAACTGAGGAAAAATTGCGACTTTGAGTTGTCAATCGCAACCCTTACACACGAAATGGACGTTGGACGTCAAAAACTGAAGCAAAATTGCGATTTTACTTATTCAATCGCAACCCTTACGCACGAAATGGACGTTGGACGTCAAAAATTGAGGAAAAATTGCGATTTTACTTGGTCAATCGTAACCCTTTCGCACGAAATGGACGTTGGACGTCAAAAACTGAGGAAAAATTGCGATGGACGCTTTCGTTTGTGTAAAAGTGTCTGTGTGTAAAAGCGTCTCTGTGTAAAAGCGTTTGTGTGTGAAAGCGTGTGTGCGTGTGTAAAAAGCATCTGCGTGTAAAAGCGTCTGTGTGTAAAAGCGTCTGTGTGTCAATGCGTCTGTGTGTAAACGCGTTTGTGTGTGAAAGCGTGTGTGCGTGTGTAAAACGCATCTGCGTGTAAAAGCGTCTGCGTGTAGAAGCGTCTGTGTGTAAAACCGTCTGTGTTTTGAAATCAAGTATGTCATGGCATTGTTTTGAACTCAAGCGAACAGATATGCATGTCTCGGAATTTCTGAATGCAAAATGTTTGGTTGAAGTCACGCACCCGTGACGTTTGTGGACGTTTTGTGGTCACTGTTTCATTTGCTGACGGGAATGTCTGTGCGAATGGAGCATGCGACCGTGTCATCCGCGTCGTCCGATGCCGTGGAACTTCGGTTGCAGAGGCATTGCGAGATGATGCAAGATGGTGTTGCCGAGCTGCTGAGTTTTTTGCTACCCAGCTTTGTTAAACTAGTTTTTTGTTGATGTGTTCAGCCTTCAGTTTGCAGGTCTCTGCGACAGTGGTTCTTTGCCATGTCAAACTCATGAGTGGTGTTCGCAGTTTGGAAGTCAGAGAACAAATGCTTTGCAGACTAGTTTTTTGTTGGTGCGTTCAGCCTTCAGTTTGCAGGTCTCTGCGACAGTGGTTCTTTGCCATGTCACACTCATGAGTGGTGTTCTCAGTTTGGAAGTCCGAGAACAAATGCTTTGCAGTGGATTGTGCAACTCTGCAGCGACAAGCATAGTTTACCTCTTTACCTCTTTCCTGGGCTCAGACGTGAACGTAGAGACAAGATGCAGAGACAAGATGCATTGTGCACAGAGTGAACATCCATATTCTTATATGAGCATCTGCGTGTAAAAGCGTCTGCGTGTAAAAGCGTTTGTGTGTCAACGCGTCTGTGTGTAAAAGCGTTTGTGTGTGAAAGCGTGTGTGCGTGTGTAAAACGCATCTGCGTGTAAAAGCGTCTGTGTGTAAAAGCGTTTGTGTGTCAACGCGTCTGTGTGTAAAAGCGTTTGTGTGTGAAAGCGTGTGTGCGTGTGTAAAACGCATCTGCGTGTAGAAGC